GGCAGGATATAAAGGCCCTTTAAAGGAGGGGAAAACAGAGTAGGTAGCCCCTGTGTCCACCAAGAAGGAGATGGGCTTACCCATTACCCACAGCTTGGCCCTGGGCTCGGCGAGGGTGATCGGGGTGTCCAAGTCCAGGCATCTTCAGTCTTCGAGGATGCCCAGCAGGTCTGAAGGGTAGTTTTTTGAGGGCATCTGCCCCCCGCGGGGCTCTGCTGCTGGAGGATGACTACCCCCTAGTGGACAGTCTACTTTCCAGTGACCTTGCTTACCGCAGCTAGGGCACGGTTTGGTGGTCTGCATGGTTGGTTGGGGCACTTCCGTGCCCAGTGCCCTTCGCTGCACCAAAAGCAAGGGCCTGGAGGTTCGAGTTGATCTTCAGGGACACCCTGATGATCTCTACAAGCCAGCTGCAGAGCAGCTGTTATGGCACAAGTCTGTTTGTTCCACCATTCGGGCAGCTGACCTCCTCTCACTCTTGTCCTCTCAGGCATGAAAAACTTTAAATGCCATATCTATCAGGTCTCCTAGAGGGATCTGGGGACCATCCTCAGCCTTTTTAAGCTTGCGCCTGATGTCGGGAGCCGACTGAGTTATAAAATGCATGGCCAGGAGAGAGGAACCTAACGCTGAGGCCAGGTCGATCTTAGTAAAAGCCCCTAGGGTTTCCTTTTGGCACTTGAGGAATTATGACAGGTTTTCATCAGGCCTCTGGGTAATCTCTCTAAGCTTATAGTAATTGATGGCCTTTTGAGTGGTTGAGTTCATACCTGCTAACAAGTAGCAAATCATGCGATCCCAGCACACCTCACCCTTGGGAGAATTATAATCCCACAGGGGTTCTTGTAGAGGAACAGCATCTCTGCCCATAGGTTCCCATTCATCTGTGGTGTGGGCCTCATTGGCACAGTGCTGTGCTACCGCTGTGACATGGTCATATTCCTCCAGGGTTAGAGTGGATTGGAGGACTACAAGTACATAGTGCCAGGTGAGCTTGTAAGCTTGAGTGAGATACTTAAACTGTTTAGTGAACATTACAGGGTTGGAAGAAGGACCCTAATCACTGTTCCACCTGGGACAAGTCTGCCAGGGAAAAGGGAACATGAACCTGCACCACCCCTTCAACCCCCGCTGCCTCTCTCAGAGGAGCCATCACATGAGCTTGAGACTGCTGTGACTTAGAGTGGGTTATGGGAGGGCTAGACCATTTGGGTGCTAGCTGTGGTGGGTAGGATGGCGGCAGGTTTGAAGGAGGGGACGGAGGAAGCAACACTGGCAGTGGGGGATACAACCTGGGAATTGATGTGGAAATTGAAGGCTGGGGACCAGGATATGGGGAAATTTTATCCGTTTTTTTCTGAAGTGGAGTTGGCACCTGTGGAGCAAGATGGCACCTTGACCAAAAGAGAGAGGGAACAAGATGGCGGAGAGGTGGGAAGAGAAGGGGAACAAGATGGCAGAGAGGCGGGAAGAGAAGGGGAACAAGATGGACATTGAGGAAGGGAGCTGGCCCCCGTGGTGGGCCCAGAGGAGCGGGAAAGGGGGTAGCCGAGATCCTCCACTGAGTCTGTCAGAGAAGAGTCTCCCAGTAATAGGAGTGGTAGAGATCGTCAGTCCTTGGAGGAGGCCTGGGCCAACAAAACTTGGAAAGGAGTACACAACACACAGATCTGGGCAGGCATGCAAAGTAAAAAAAGCCTGCACATATGGGATTTCACCCCATTTTCAGCTCTGGTGGCAATAATTAGTCAAGTCAGTGAGGAGGCCAAAATCGAAAGTTCCCTCAGGGGGCCAATGAGATTGGTTGTCCAAGGGATACTGAGGCCCGGCCTCAGATCAAAGGAAGACTAGCTTCCATTTGCGAACTTCCTGGGACAAATATAGAGTAGCCAAATTAGAAATGAGACACTGCAGCGGGGTCTGAGCCTCTGCTTTTGAGGGCTATTTCCCCATGTCTGCGTCACTCCCTCCCAACTAATCCTGCTGAGAGGAGCACCCAGCGTCCCAAGTATGCCAAGTCAGGGGAGATGTCCTGGGAGCCTGGGTGAGGGATGTCTCCCACACCACAGGGCCAGGGGCGGGCCAGATGCCTGCAGAGGATGGGCTGGATGCCCAGGGGCTGGATGCCCCAACCTGGATGTAGCTATGATTTTGAACAGACCAGGTGAAAGGAGTTAGGAAGGGAGACAGACTGGGGGAAACTGAGGGACTCACCAGAAAATAGTCCACGCAGCGGAGAGCAGGCTGAGGTCCCAGGTCGGGGAAGGAGGGGGCAGGGCTGCCGAAGGCCGGTCAGGGCCCTACACTCACACTCCTTCCCGGGTTTTGGCACCAAATGTAAGGTAAATTCTAACCAAAATGAGCAGGTGATGAGAGGCAACAGAAGGCCAGGCAGTTTAGCTCAATCCCAGGCGGGTACACCAGTCTGCACAGACACAGGCCGGAGAAGTTGTGCCCAACCAGACAGGCAGGGAGTTTTTATAAACACAGGGAAGGGAGGGAGAAGTGGGCCGCACCAGGGGTATGTGGGGAATTTTTATTGGATCAGGGTTGGGTGATGGACAGCCAGAGGTCTCCTCCTTCCAGATGGAGGGGGTCTGCATCCAGGGTTTGTTGGCACGTCACGGGACTGGAATCCAGGAAGAGTTGGCACAGAGCTATTTGGTGCTGTCTTTGTTCTGCTTGCACTGTCCTCGCTTTCCTCCCTCTGGTTGTTCCAACCTTACAATTACAACATCATCGATTATATTCTATACATTGTTCTTTTTTTCTCCAATATGACTACTTTTCTCTCCTGAGTTTCACATCCCAATTACTGGTGGGATGTCTCCACCTGGGTGTCCCTTGTGTGCTTCCTGGCCTGGAGGACCACCACCTCCTCCCATGATCACCTGGGTTTGGAAGCTCTGAGTCATCTTGGACTCTTCCCATGTCCTGTTCCACTCCCAGAGATAAGTGATTTGCCCTCTGAAACACCACTCAGACTTCCTTCCTCTCTGAGGTCCGGATCTTCATCACCTCTCCCTTGGACTGTGGCAGTGATGTCCCAGGTGTCTTCCAGGTCATCTGACATTCATTCCTTCTCATTTCCAAGACAGCCCATTTCACCTCCAAACCTTCCTGCTGCATCCCATGGCCTTTAGAACATGTTCAACATAGCCTCCTAAGTTCTCAGCAGTCCTAACACCTAGACTACTTTCTTTGTGCTTCATTTACTGTTTGTGAAATTTTCCAAATTACAAATATGATATTTCAGCCTTCAGTATTTTAGCATGTGTCTGTAAAAATAACTCCTATATATGCATGCTGTCATCATAGCTAACAAAACTATTTTCTCATGTCTAATTTTCAGTCAATATTCAGATGTTCCCAGTTGCTCCCAGTATGTCTTTCACAGTTGGTTTGTTCAGCAGAGATTCAAAGACCAAATATTATTCTCTGTTGTTAGGTGTCTAAAGTGTCTCAATCTTGACTTCAGACCACCTTCCTGTCCATCTTTCACCACTTCCTTCCTGAGCCCTGTGGATCAGCAAACCCACCTGCCATGGACTTTTGAAATTCCTCCTTTTTTACTCTATACCCTTTCCTGTCCCTGGACCTGAGCGCTTGCACCTTATTTCTCTAAAATCATCTGGGACAGCACCTCCCACCTCTGTGAAATCTCTTCCCTTCATTTTCCACCACCTGTCCTTCCCTCTGATCTTGTCCAGGGGTTTCTGCCTCTGTTCCCAGCGTAGGCTTGGTTTTGCCTGCTGGCTGAGGGCAGGGCCATTGTCTTTCAGCCTTGCTGCCCCTGAGCCCAGCATGATGAGGAGATGGATGACACTATTTTCTTCAGCATCTTTGCCCTCCCCATGGCCTGCTTACTATGGTAATTGGGAACAAGGTCCAGCATGGGCTCGGAGTGTTGTGCTGGAAGGTTGTGCTCCTGGAAGCTGGCTCTTAGCCCGGTCCAGATCTCCTTCTGCTCTTCCGGTTTCTTTCCTTTTTTGTGTACACACACCAAGACTCAGGAAGTGGTTCTTGAGGCAGGACCATAAGATCCTAAGGGCTGGGGCCCAGGCTGGGGGAGCTGGAGAGGGACGGCTGGTTCTGTCCTTGGCCTGTTCACACAGCTCCTTCTGGGGACCACCATGGCACACAAAGGATGGAGCCAGCTTGAGCCCTGCTGCCTCCCCTTCCGGTCCTCACTGGGCTTTGCTGGCGGGGATAAGGAGGGATGTCTGCTAGGACGGCACAGGGAAATCAGGGGCTTTATCTATGTCATGCCTGTCTTGGTGTCCTCCCCCATGCCTCCACAACAGGCTGACCCGGGAGTGCTGGGGACACTGACTTTGCCGGTCTTCTCCCAGAGTGAGGGACAGGACTCTGACGTGTTATGATCAATTGGGTGGGATGTCCTGGGAATGGCTTCCTTTCCTACTCAGTCCACCACTCAGGACCCACAGAAAATGGAGAAGAGACTCACAGAGGTGGGTACATGAACACCCACTCTAGAATCTTGGGGGACTTCCAGGACGCGAGGCCAGGGACTTTCTGCAAGTGTCACCGACCCCAGGGAGCCAGTAGCGCCCTCTGCTGACCCCGGAATGGGAGTGGGAGCCTGAACAGGGATGCAGCCAAAGGAAGGGAGTGGGCTCTGGGCGGAGGATGAGGAGGCCTCTTCGGGACGTTTCTGGCTGGGTGCAGCCCAAGCGTAACTCCCGGCCGCTCACCCGTCCTCTGGCTCTGGTGCGCCTCTTCCGCTTCCCCAAGCCAGGGCACTAGGCTGCGCTCGGTCCCGCTCTCCGGCCCCGACTCGGCACAGAGGTGGGGGCGCCAGGAGGGCCCCAGCGGCCCAGAGGCCCTGCTTACGGCCCGCGCTTTTGCGGGGTGGGTGCTGTCTTCGGGCGGGGCCACGTGGCCTTGACAGGGCGCTCGCCCTCCACCCCGCCCCCCGCCGGTGACTCTAGCCGCGACTGTCCGCGCATCACGTGAGGCGGCAGCGGGGGAGGGGCCGTGGGGGCGTCGGGGCGGGGCGGCCTGGGCCGCAGAGTCGAGGCGCGAGCGGGACTCACAACGCGGAGCGTAGGTGAGGCCACGGGCCTGTCCCGCTTCGGTAGAGGCCCTGTCCCCTCGCGCGCGCGCGTTGCGGGCGTCGAAGAGCCGCCGCGCCGCCGGCCGCCCGGGCGGAGTTTCAGAGGCCGGGCGGGACGCGGCCGCACTTCGGTTTGCGGCGAGCGGAGCCTGGGGTCGGGCGTGGGCCGAGGGCCGTGTTTCGGGGCCGGTTGGGTGGGGAGCTGGTTAGCGCCTCGGGCCGGCCGTCGGGGTGAGCGTCTGGAGCCAGCACCGCCGGAGTCCCTGGTCGGTCCGGGGCCAAGGCGGAGGGGCGGGGTCCGCACCGGCGGCGGTGGCCGCCCCTCTGCAGCGGGGAGCTGAGGGGGCGAGACGTGGGCCGGACGGAGGTTTTCTGGCGGGAGGGGCCGGGAATGCGGGCCAGCGGGGAGCCCGGAAACCGAGGCCCCTCGCTGGGTCTAATCCCCGCGCGGCCCTCTGCCCAGGGCCGGCAGCCATGGCGGTCGAAGGAGGAATGAAGTGCATCAAGTTCTTGCTCTACGTCCTTCTGTTGGCCTTCTGCGTGAGTGGGAAAAGGGGCACGAGGGGGGAGCGTGGGCACCGTGCGGGGAGACGTGGCCCGGCAGTGGTAAGGGCTGAGGGCCGGGAATGGGGACCGCCGGAGACCAGCTGTGCAAGGCAGGCCCCGGAACGGCCCGAGACGCACTGTCCCCTGCCCCATCTCTCAGGGACCCCAGAGACTGGCCTGGACCGAGAGAGGCCAGCCTCGGGGCCAGCACCCTCCCCCAGGCCCTCCGGCCTTTCCTGTCTGGTGACCCAACCACTTATGATACGGTTAGTGGGGCAACCAGCCAACCGCCCTTGTTGCTCTCCACTCCCTCCTTCCTCTTCACCCCTCCCAGCTGTCTGGGGGTTGGGGAAGGTCCGCTCACCTCAGTGTGCTCCTGGCTTGAGAGGACCGTCCAGCGAGGGGTACACCTCCTCCTTTCTCCCTGACCTGAGGAAGCCTAGTCGCATCTGGTGACAATGGGTTGGACTTCTGAGGATAGTGACAGGGCAGCTCTGGAAGCCTGAGAGGCCCTTAGGAAGCATGCTCTTGGTTAGGAATTTGTGCCCAGGGTCAAGGCATTCTAGGAACTTATCCTTTTGCGTTTGATCAAACTGTGGGGTAAGGATGGGTGATCTTCCTACAGTTAGATGTTTCCCAGAGGCGTGAGAATCTGTCCTTCCAGGATGCAGGTTAAGGGGGCCCACTGTGGAGGGCTGATGGATTGTGGGTCTGGCCTAACCCTGACCTACCTTCCTTGCAGGCCTGTGCAGTGGGACTGATCGCTGTGGGTATATGGGCCCAGTTCATTCTGAGTCAGACCATTATCCAGGGGGCCACCCCTGGCTCCCTGTTTCCTGTGGTCATAATTGCGGTGGGTGCCTTTCTCTTCCTGGTGGCCTTTGTGGGCTGCTGCGGGGCTTGCAAGGAGAACTCCTGCCTTATGATCACGGTGAGTGTGGTGAGGAGCCAGCACGGGTACCTAAGCCTGCTGGAAGGGCATTTCTCTGGAGGAGGATCAGGCGGGCCGGTGACACGAGGTGGGTGGGTGAGGGAAACCTTTGAGTGTTCCAGAGATTGGATGGGCAACAGCAGGCCCCCTCTCACTCAAACTCCAAACCTGACTTCCGTCCTTTGCTCCTGCAGTTTGCCATCTTCCTGTCTCTTATCGTGCTGGTGGAGGTGGCCACAGCCATTGCTGGCTATGTGTACAGAGACAAGGTAAGCAGGGACTGGGTGTGTGTGTGGGGGGGAGGGGACACTTCCTCATAGGCCTGAATGCTCTGTGACCCAGGTGCCCTGAATTCTGACCTCAATAGTACTCCTCCCCATTCTCAGGTGATGTTAGAATTTAATAAGGACTTCTGGCAGCAGATGCAGAATTACAGGAAAAATAACCGCACAGCTTTTATCCTGGACAAGATGCAGAAAGATGTGAGTGGGGTTGTGGGAGCAGGGTAGGGGGGAAGAAGAATCTCATCTCCATGTTCAAGGTGGAGGTTCACTGACAACCTTCTGCCCCCATCTCTCCTCTCCCAGTTTAAGTGCTGCGGGGCGGCTAACTACACAGACTGGGAGACCATCCCACTCATGCCCAAGGGCCAGGTCCCTGACTCCTGCTGCATCAATGTCACACAGGGCTGTGGGACTCATTTTAAGGTGAAGGAGATCCACACCAAGGTAGGAAGGAGGCTGAGATAGCGGGGGACTTGGGTAACCTGGGAAATGTCTCTCAAGAGGCAAATGGAACCAGGAATGGATGGAGAGGGTTGGGGCTCTGCAGAATTGGGGGTCAGGGATGGGGAGGCGATCTGGGAATGCCAAGGGAAGGGGCATGGCAGAGACCAGGGGAGGTTGGTGTGTGGTGTGTGATGGTGTTGCCTTGTGTGCCTGCCATCCCCCACCCCAGGGCTGTGTGGAGAAGATTGGGGGCTGGCTGAGAAGCAATGTGCTGGTGGTGGCTGGTGCAGCGCTGGGCATTGCCTTTGTGGAGGTGAGAGGTGTTCTTGGCACTTACTCCAGGTCATTTGGGGAAGAGAGGCAATAGGGAGGAGGGTGCTTGAGCAGGGGTATTGGCCTGGGGAGAGGAACCCTGGTTATGTTTGTGGTCTTTGGTGGGTGTGGGGTACCTTGCCCTTTGACTTTCCTCCCCACCCTCCTTCCCTTCTAGGTACTGGGAGTTGTCTTCACCTGCTGCGTTGTGAAGAGTATCCGAAGTGGCTATGAGGTGATGTAGGGGGTCCGGTCTTTTCAGCCCCCTCATCTAGGGCAGTGGGGTTTTACACTCCAGGTTTTTCAATTAAATGAATTATTTTTTCAGACTGATAAGTCTCAGTTTGTCATAAGAGATCTACTTTATCCCTTCCTTCTCTTTATCCATGTTCCTGTCCTCATGGACCTGTTCTGTTTGTACCTCTGGGAAAGGCAGGCCTATTTGCGGGGGTGTTTGGGAAAGGCAGATTGTGTTCCAAGTATTGGCTGGGCTGGCAGTGAATGGGGTTTGGAGTGGGCTGTGACCCACTGCCCTCCTTATCTCCTAGTTGTGGGCTGCCAGGTTCCCTCCTGCAATGCTCACTAAGCCATCTCCTTCGAAAGTCAAGGGATTTCCCACAGAGGCCCTACCTGGGAGAGGCTAGTCCATGTCTACAGTGGACATCTCCTCCCTGGCCTTCTGCCTACCAGCCCCACGAAGGGTGCCTGGCTCCTTTCAGAGTGGTAGTAAGTTGCTTTGACATCTGTGTGGCCAGTGTCCATGTTTCTTGACTTACTTTGGATAATCAGAGAATTTAAGTGGCTATTGCCGTTTTTTTTCCATGGAAACCACCCAGCCTGGTCCTGAGCCCTCTTCACCAACTTCCCTCCCTCGGAGTAAAAGTAAAAGGCCATTTCCACTCCAAATACTTAATTGCAGCTTTAGTGCACGTCGAAAATAAAAGAAACGTCCAACAGTGCCCCCCTGGTGGCCATTCTCCAGGGGCTGCATCAAAGATCTTGTACAGATGCAAGGCAGTGCCCTTGTGCCCCGCAGTGGTCACTAGTTGTTTTGCAAGCACTAAACAGGCCAGAGCCCCTAGGCCACTCAGCCTGGGATAGTTAGCACTTAAATGGTGTCAATTTTCCACTGGGTGTTTTCTCCTTTTTAGGAATTTTTTAGCAGTACACATTTATTGAGTGCTTGTTCTGTCAGGCACCAGGTAGTAGCAGGGTGGGGAACAGCAGTGAAGTCCTTGCTCTTGAGGAACAGTTGTTGGAAGGCTGGGTTCAGCAGATGGCCTGGGCAGGCATGGGAAGGACCCAGGTGAGCACACCCCCCACCAGGCTGGCAGCCAGAGCAGGTTGGCTTCCCAGCCTGGGCTGTGGTGGGTTCTGAGGCGACATGTGGTCAGCAGAGTCAGCTCAGGCGCCTGCCCAACTTGGTCAGTCTGAGCTTGGGATGGACTGCTGCACTCTTAGGCCTGTGGCCCAGTGAGTAGCCATAGTCAGTGTCCCTGTCCCACCCAGCCCTTCTCAGGTTGGGTCCTGGGAGAAGGCTCTTTAGTCCCCTTCCATCGGGTGAGGGGCAGGTCCACAGGGCCTGAGTGTTCTGTGGCATCCCATTCACCTTCACCTTCTCCCTGACCATTGCCCACCTCCTCCCAGCAGGGGCAGGACTGGCCTTTCTGGCACTCACTGCCCTTCATGCTCCCCTGTGTGGGCCCAGCTACTCCACCTGGTGAGGAAAGCCTCCCCACAGTGGCCCTGTATGGCTGGAGGGAGCTGTGCCCAGGCCTGCAGGGCGTCTCCCAAACTTCAGGTTTGCTGTGGGTTTGGAAGAAGCCAGGCTCCACTGTGGAGACTTACACCGCTAAAGGAGCCACACCCCACCTATAGAGGGGGCAGAGGAAGGTTTCTGGATTCTTGTCCCCCAGGACCATGGGTGTGGGGGTAAGATGGGCATTATCTTAGGGGTCCTGATGGTGAGTTAGATCTCTGCAGCCCTGGGATGAGAGGCAAGTGGGACAGAGGGATGGAGATACCTGAGACGTATTTTCCTTTATATTTTCTTCTATGATCTAGAGCAGGGGTCAGCAAACTTCTTAAAGGGCAAGATGATGAGTATTTTCAGCACTGCAGGCCTGAACATTAATATAATATATAACCATTTATAAGGTGACCATTTAAAAATGTAAAAATCATTGTTAGCTTGTAGGTGGTTCACTGGATATGGCTTGAGAACCAGTTTGCTTACTCCTGACCCTACTCCCTACTTCCTAAAACACAGGGTTGAGTCCTGAGTGCTGGATAGGAAGGGTATATATAGATGGGTGTTTGCTAGGGGGAAAGCTGGGATACATCCAACTGTCCTGGCACAGATGCAGAAATCCAAGTGTATAGTACATGTTCTGTGATGCTGATTAGAAATTAAAAACAGGCTCAGGGACAAAAGTAGATACTGAAATGATCCCAGCAGGTGATGGTGTCAAAGGCAAGCTTTCTTCAAAAGGTGGGATTGGCTTGGATTTGTGCTGCTCACAGTGCGGGCCCTCCTGTCATCCTCACCAAGGCTACCTTGTGCTTTCACGGGACTCTTGAGCATTTGTCTAAAGATGAGGGGCAGGAGAACACAGTGACCATGCTCAGTAGGCAGGCAGGCAGGCCTGGGGGTAGTCCCAGCGCTTCTACAAAGTAGTTGTGTGGTCTTAGGGAGGTCATGTTACTCTCAGGGTATTAAGACCTACCCTTACAGGGTTGTTGGGAGAATTAAATGAGATGTTCTATAAAGGTACTAGCTTATGGTTAGTAATAGTTACTGTTACTAACAAAAGTAATACTGGTGCCAGGCACATACCTCATTTCACTCACAACACCCACAAAGCAGGTCTTTTCATTCTGACAACAGATGATGAACTGGGCACAGAGAGATAAACTGTTCAGGTTACAAAGCTCACAGGGGAGAGGGCTGGGATTCGAAGCGTAAGGATGGTCCTACACTGTCCCCTTTTCGGTATTCCAGCAATTGCTGTTTTAATCATCTCTGTAGGGCAGGCTCTCATTCGTTTGCTGAGTGTGCCACCCTTAGTCTGGGAGCCTGGGGCCCTGTACCCTCACCTCAGACTGTCAGAGAAGGTCTCCAGGCTAAACTTGGACACACAGTAGACCCCATCACTGGCCGCCAGGTGACCCTGGGCCTGTAGCAGGGCAAGGGTGACCCTGAGAGGTCCCAGTGTGTTCGCATTCAGCACCCGACGGACATCATCCTGAGTCAGCCATGGCACAGGCCCTACAGCAGTATTACTTGTCAGGCCAAAAAGCCCTGTGCGAGGCTCTAATGGTCTCCTTCCTGGGAGGGTCTGAGCGCTGCTCTTTCCCCAAATCCCTCTAACTGCCCACAGTCCTTGCAGGTGAACACCCTACACCATGTTCCTGGTGGCCCAGCTGTACTCCTGTTTCCCCAATGTTTCCACTCAGTTGGTTGCCCGTTGGACACTGGGGATTGGTGGTAGCCAGCAGTGTGGTGTGGAGGAGGGGGGAGGCCACCCGCCGTAGGTCCTCTGCCCTGAGGGGCTCAGGCAGCTGGCCAGTCTCAGGGCCAGAGGCCACCTGAAGCCTAAGGTGCGGCAGGGGATGAGGACCAAGGCTCCGCACTCTCCCAGCAGGCACAGCGTGGCCCCAAGCATGGCTCCCAGCAGCAGGGGCAGCCACATGGCTAGGGCCCAGGTGACTGCAGATGGCAGCCGAGGCTGGGCACGAGAACTTGGCTAGTTCACTGTGGCCCTCAAATGCCTCGCCCCTTATAGCCATCCTAGCTGGGAGTCTCTGGTCTGAGCAGATAGAGGAATTATCTGCCTGGCTTGTAAGCAAAGATCTGGGCAGATGCTGTGATATGGCTGACGCAGCTAAAGGCAGATCAACCAGCTCCTGTGTGCAGACCCTGCTGCACAGGGCAGAGGGATCTTCTCTGCTTTCACTGCTCCTGGCCAGACTAGGGACACCTGAACTCTCTAAATGTAAGCTGGGCCTTGTTTTTGGAAACACATACCAGGCAAAGAACCCTACACTTCAGTCCTGATGGTCCCACACTGTGATGCTGAGCGTCTCACTGCATCTCCGGATCTGTTTTCTCACCTGCCAAGTGGGGCTAATGCCCACCATTCCCACTTGGGAGTTGTGGAGGGCCAAAGGGGCTTGTGTGTGGGGAAGCAGACAGAATGCTTAAAGCCTTCCGTTATCAGCCTGGGTAACATCTGGCTGCTCTGCTCATGGTACCCTAGCTCCCAGTACCCTGCTGACCTTTGGGAAAGCTAGGTGGCACCATATGCCTGGAGCTGCTGCTTTTCCTTCATCTGAGACTTTGCTCCCAGTACCCCCAGGCTCCCACACTAGCTGCAGCCAGAGTCTACAGTGGGCGGACTTGGTGCCAGAAGTGTTCAGTGCATGTGTGTCAGGGAGAGGCTGGGAGGTGAAGCCAGGGAAGCTGGAGGCTGCTGGTTGAAGCCGGGGCTTGCCACAGGCCAGGCATGCCTAGGCCCCCTTCCCGGATGCTTTTCCAGCTAGGGCTCCTGACTAACTCTTATCATGAGCTCCCAGGAGAGGGGATCTGTCAGGGATGGCAGCTGCCCCTTCCTGTTGGTTACCTTGGGCCTCTAATCCCTCTCCTTTCCCAGACCTGAAGTGCCCCCATGCTAAGAGTTAATCTCCCACCAGGTCCAGACTCATGAACCTGCTTAGCACCAGGCTAGGAGAGGCCATGAGCATGTGGAGAGGCAACAAGGCAGAGCTGGGACCAGGCTTGCCTCCTATCTTATTTCTCTGCTGCAAGAAGCTCAAGTCCAGATTTAGGAAGCTTGGGGCAGGGCCCACTGATCTTTTTGGGTGGTGTGGGAAACGCTCACCCTCTGCTTACCCAACAGGCACCTGCACCAGGCCCAATGAGGAAAAGAGTTGGGATGGTAAGAGGAAGCTAGTTCCACTCTCTACCCGAAAGGTACCTGTCCCTTAGGGAAACAGATTTTGAACCTTCTACTTCCACCCCCACACTGAGCTAATAGCTCCTTGAAACATGCCACAGATAAATGGAGGCTTGTGTTTTATTCATGGCCTGTCAGACTCCCTCCTGCTCCCATGGGTGACGTAGGAGTGGTGTGGGGGTGAGGGCAGAGGGGTTAGGAGGGAGCAGACTGCAGCTGCCCTTTGTAGACATATTCCAGTGCGGTGGCAATGGTGCGCATGTCCAGCTCAATGCTCCGAGCCCAGTTCTCAACATCCCCGATTTCCTAGGAAGGGGAGGATGAAGGAGTCCGGAAATCAGGGTGGGTAAGGCATGGATTGAGGGGATGGAAGGACGGACAGGGATGCTTTCCATCTACCCCTCAAAAGGACTTTGCTTGGACCCCTCAACTGCTTTTATCTCTTTTTCTCTAGCTTCTCTGACTCTGGGGTCATAGATGGGATATCTGGGACCAACCCACTTCCTCTTTACTCCCAGGCCTGAGATGACTTGACTGGAGGCAGTCCATGGAGGTGCAGGATGGGCCTGGTGATGGGAGGGAGGGTGGCCCACCTTGAGTGCCTGGTTGAAGTTCTCCACCATCCCAATCCACTGGCCTGTCTGCTTTGCAAACTGGGCAGCCTGGACCTGCAGGGTCTTCACCTCATGGTCCAGCTTCCTCTGGTTCATATAGGCCTGGGCCACACTAGAGATTGGAGGAGGAAGGTGGTCAATGCATCCAATGGGGGGTGGTGGTGGTGGTCTCCATGACTAATGCTCCAGGCGAGAGTGGGAGGCCAGCCAGGAGTCAGGCTGGGGAAAACCCCATGATTCTGGCCATTTTTGGCTGTGATGCAAATGATTACTCTACATGCAAGTGAACCCAGTTCCTTCCTCCCACTCCCAGGATTCCCAGGAGAGCCCATCTGGGAGCTGACTAGAAACGTACCATCTCCTACACCCTAAAGGAGTTCCTAAAGCTGGGTGGGAGAAGGGAGGGTTAACCCTGGGGAACATCTCTGAAGAAGAAGTCCGGAGGGAAAAGGGAGAGTGGGGATGCTGGGAAAATCCAGCAGTGGAAACACATCTGGCAGTGATTGGAAGCCCAGGGATCTGTGCAAGAAGTTGGGCCCTTCCCTGAATCTGGGGTGGGAGAGCAGTCCTCTCTCCAGGAACTCAGGGCCAGGAGAACATATCCCAGGGGCTACTTATTGACAACCCCCCCCCCACCACCCCTCTAGGCTTTCTTTCCTCGTCAATTAAGGCTGCCTGCAGTTACTGCTACTGCCACCAGGTGGCACCTCCAACCCTTTGCCCCACCCTCACCAGCCTCTGCAATAATCATTCTATTTGGGCTCCTATCCCAAAACTCCAGGTCAGCCAAAAGACTCCACTTCTCCCTTCCCCCATGGAATCTGTGGGGGCTGGAGGGGGCAAGGGTTGTGGGGGGAGTTGAGAGAGTGGAAAGGACACCTGGCACGGGCTGAGATAGAGTGCTCCTTTGTTTTCCTTTCCGGGGAAGGAGAGGGGCCGTGGGCTGCAACACAAAGTCCTTTCTAATCTGGCTTTGGCTTAGCTGCCCTCTGAGCTGAAAGTGGGGTGGCCCCTAGCAAAAAAGAGGAGACGCCTGGGCCAACTTCACAGCAGAGCCCCAGAGGCGCCAGTGTGGGAGGGAAAGGGGGCAGACCCTGCCCCTTCTCTTTGAGAGATAGCTGGGCTGAAATAGTGATAGCAGGGGGTTCTCAATGCTTTGAGAGAATCCCTTGGGAGTTCGAGACCCCCAGTTTTTCCCTCTTGGCCCCTTAATTTCTATTACTCACACTGAGTGAAGGGAGAGGCCTCGGGGGGAAGGAGATGGGGAGGCCCCAGCCCCAGCCTTCTCTTCCCCTAATCTTCCCCAGAGATGAGTGATGAGGGCGACAGCCCTTGCATGGCTCACTTGAGTGACTCAGTCTCTGGGTTCACCACCAAGCTACTTGACTTGGCATGGGGTGGAAGGCATCATATTGCTTCCAGCAGATGGTACATCAGTCATCATCTGTGCCCTCCCAGGGTTGAGAGGTAATCTCTTTGCTCTTCCCAAGTGTTTGGTTTGTTATCGACACTCTCATTTAGGTCTGGAGCAGGGGTGGTTGCTGGGGACCCAGAAGGAAGGGAAGAGACAGCCTGGCTCTGCAACAGCTCCAGGCATAAGTTCTGCCCTCACCCTCACCAGCTGTGCCTCTTTCCTGCCAGCTGCTCCTTGGGCCTGGGGAGGTGGAGGAGAGGGTGATAAGTTTTAGGGAAGGAGGGTGCTTTCCCTCCCGCTGAAGTGACAGCTGGTCTTGGAGGGGTGAAGGGATGTGGGCAGATGGCATCAAGTTGTGAGCACCAGGGAGGTGCTCCCTTACCGTGGGGAGGGGGAATCTGGCTGCTTCTCCAGCCACTGCAGCCACTCCTCCCTACCCAGTGTTAGGGATCGCAGCTGACCCAAGCAACTGTTATAAAGTTAAGCTGGGTGGGGTTGAGGGTAGAGGAAGAATTGGAACATTTCATCCCTTCAAGAGCAGTCTGAGGGCTAGACCCTGCCAGTGCCTAAACTTGGAGAGGGTGCTGGTGTTGATGTGAAAAGGTTCATACCCCACATTGAGGTGATCCACCAAAGCTTCTGTCAGGCAGGTCGCTGCAGTGATAGCCTCTCGCCTCCTCTTCTCTGGAGGAAAGGGGAAAAGGGATTGGAGTGGAGACTTCATTTTTCTGACAGATGGTGCTGGAGATTCCCCACTCATTCGTTACCATTCTGCTAGTTGTGGGTGCCACAACTAATCTCAGAGTGCCACAGCTGAAAACAACCTTGCAAAACATAAAGCAAGCCTTTTCATTTTAGAGGTGTTTACTGGGACCCTGAGAGGGAGAGCCATTCGCCAAGGGCCGCTGAGACAGTCACAGGGCGCAAGACTCCAGACTCCCAGGCACTCTTTTCCCACTCTTTTGGCCCGAGGATGGGTAACTCCGCGATTCCCAGTCCAGACTAGGGAAACAAGGGCCTCACCCTATTCTGGTAGTTTCAGGCCCCCAAGAATCCCATTTCTGTTCAGGTCTCCAACACCCTCCGGCCTTCAGGAGCGTTCCTTCCCACTTCCAAGATGAGCGGCTCCCTCGGCCAATCGGCGCGGCGCCCCACGAGCAGGGGGCGGGACTACGATGTCGCCTAGACTGCGCTGGGGCGTCGCCGCGGGGAAGCCGAGTGTTGCCGGAGGGGCAAGGAACCCCTCCATTCGCTCTCCGCGACGCCATACCCACGAGCCCGCGCCCTTGCCTGGATCTGGGCCGCTACTCGAGGCTCAGGCTGCGGGAGGGAAAATGGCGGGCGGGTATTTGGCTTACCCTGCAGCTCCTTGCGCTCGTTCTGCTTGGCCTGGTGGTCTTTCAGCAAGCGGGAGAGCATGGCTGCGGAGGGCTGCGCACATCCGGCCCTTCGACCCCGGGAGCGGGGATTTGCACCTCCGCTCGCGCCGGCAGGGTCACGTGAGCACAGGGTCACGTGCCCCCTTTTAAACCGGGGCTGGTCCTTGCGGAGCTCGGCCCAGGCAGGGGAGCGGTGGCGGGCTGGGGCTGGTGGGTACCCGTCTTTGTTTTGGGTGCACTTTTTTGGTGGGTATTGGGGGAGGTGGTGGTAGTTCCAGTATCGCAGAGCCAGTTTGAGTCTTTGGATGTCAGGCTCGGGGTAAGGTGGTGTCGCCGGCCTTCTGAGCACTGCTTGGGGGTGGGGTGAGCAGCGGCTTTTCCTTTTTCTATGGGTTGTCACGGCCGCTTCTCGGTCGATTCTCAGCTCCCTCCCTCTCGGAGGGAATGCGTGACTGCCTTACAGCCCTTTCTCTTCTCACCACCCCCGCCAAGGTCCCTCAGCTCTGGATGATCTTTGGAGAGAGGAAGCATTTGAGGCATTTCAAGCGCCCTCTTAGGGAGCTTTGCTAATTTGGCTGGCTCTGTGTGGTGAATATTCCACCTCTGTCCTTTTGTGGTCAGGGAATGCGAACCCATTTCAGTCTTACCAGAAGACTTAGGGCTGCTGTCAAAGTAAAAGATAAATTATGTAATACCTCTCTGAACTAAAGAGAAATGCTTCAGGGATTAACTTCAACAAGAAAAATTAAAAGCACAGTCAGCATACTCATGCTGGTGCCACAGTCTGTCTTGGTGCACAATGCTGGGTGACTTTGGGCAAGTGGCTTACTCACTCTGGATTTGGGCTTCCTCCTTAATGAAATAAAACAATTGGATTAAATCAGTAGTTCTCAACCCTGGTTAAACATCAGCCCCACTTGGGGAAATTTTAAAAATGTCTTGTTCTTGGACTAATTAACTAGATTTCTGAGGGGCAGAGCCCAGGCCTAAGTATTTTTTTAAAAGTTGTTTAGGTGATTCTAATATGCATTGAAGGTTGAGAATCACTGAACTAAACCAAATCTAAGGCTACTTTCAGCTTTGGCATTCTCTCTTTTTTCTTTTAGTTTACTAAAAAAATTGTTTTCGTATATATTTGTTATATTAAGTATATTTAGTTATTTGTGAGAAATTTACTTACTTTCACAGTTCTAGAAGCTAGGAACCTCAAGATGAAGGTACCAACATGGTTGCCCTCTAGGGAAAGCCCTGTAGTTCACTGTGTCCTGGCATGGGTAGAAAGCTGGCATTCTCTGTTTTTATGGCTCAGTTACAAAGTTGAAAACTGGCTTCGTTATATCTACTTGCAGGGGAGGAGAAATGGGTGCTGACTGAATTAGAATAAGTCATTCTTGAATTTTCTGAGAGTGGAGAATTTTCTGAGAAACAGGATGACTAACTGATCAATTCATTTATCAATTTGCGGTGAGTAGCATCTGAAATCCTGGGAGATGTGCAACTGTCAAAGGATTAGTGAGTGAAACGGTTAAGTGGCAGCATAAAGAAAGCAGAATATTAAGTGACAAAATAAAAATCCTGAATAAAAATGTTGGATGCTGTGTATGTATGTGTCTGTGCTTATCTGTGTGTGATAACTTCCCCCCCAACATGCTCTGAGTAGTCACCATGGACCAAGCACTTTATATATTTTCATTTTAATGCCTAGAAATGTCCTGTAGCATTATTACTGTCATCCGTGATTTTCAGAGGAAGAATCTGAGGTATGGAGCAGTGAAGCAACAGAGGTCATGAACGGCAGAGCTAGGGTGCAAATCCAGGCTATCTGACTCCAGAGCCTGAGCGTGACCACTGTCTACCGTGGCATAAGCCATGGGAGGGACCCCAGGAGGGGAGGCCTTGTCACTAGGTACTTCTAGCTTGTGCGGCGCCAGCTGAAGGGAGTCTGGTTGGGGAGGAGCATTTGGGAAGATGCTTCGCTCCAGAGGAGCTGATCAATAGAAGTGGGAAGATAAGAGCATCACAGGGCAGCTTGGCCGGGTCCGCCCCACCCCCTCTGGCTCCAGCTTCCAACCACAGTGAGCAAGCAAAAGAGAGGCAGATTAGAAAACTCGGTGCTTCACTCCAGAACTGTGGGGCCTGTGAGAAAAGGGCAGGGGTTGGCAGGGGTGCCAGAGAATTGTGACTTGTGGGATGGGAAACAAGGCAGGGTAATGAGGTGGGTGAGGTTGGGGGTTTTGGTGGTGAGTCTGTGAATGTATTATGCTGACTCAGGGAGAGTACCAGGCCCATCCTGTATTACCCTCACCCCCTTGGCGAAACCGCTGGACATTTTCACAATGAGTATAGAGGGTGCTAGGATCCTACAGACATCATCAGCCCTGCCCCCGCCTCCCACGCACCGGCTGTTCCTTTGCTCTGGAGCTGGGCGGAGCACACCCGGACCACATCTGGGGACTCCAGCCAGTCTCCCCAGGGTCGTCCTCCAACTGTGCTTTTTCTAGGCCCTTGTGCTCATTGTCTAGCCTCAGTTTCTGCTGACGGTGAAGCTCAGCTCCACCTGTCTTTTGTAGAACTGGACACAAGCTGCACACACATCGGGAGAATGAGTCTTGAAGTACGGAATCTCTTTCAACCTCTCTTTACAATTTTCCACCCAGATTATTTTCCCTCAGAATGAGTGAATGCAACTCCATGCTCCTTTTCCCCACTGATTTCTTTGTTCTTTTGAGGTCTTTTTCAGAGTTAGCTTTAATTAGCAAGCTCCACACTGACTGGGCCAAACATTAGGGCAGGGAGGTGCTGAGTTGTTAGGAGCTGGGTGATGACTGAGGGAGGACATGGAGTGAGTGGAGAAGGCTTCGCAGACTGGGAAATCTGGCTGGGCTTCAAAAGAGGGGTGCTGTTGGTGGTGTGGCCAAGTTCCAAATGTTGGCCTGAAGCCAGTACTCAAAGAAAAATGGCCCTCAAGACAGTCGGAATGGCTGCCTGTGAGTAGTGATCTCCCCGTCTTTCTCCCCAAAATGCAAGGCTTTCCCTTGGATCCTCAAAGACCAGGGCAGCCAGACTACAGTCAATCACACTTACATTCTTTCTCTCCAGCCACTCCCTGAGTTGCAGCTTTGGCTACAGCCAACTTTCAGAGCTGGGCAGAAGGATTCCAGTGCTGGAGAGGCGGGTGGGGTGAGAAAGTCCTCATGTTGCTTGTGTTGGGAAGGAAAAGGCTGACCTTGAGACACAGGCTCCAAGGCTCCACTGCCAGATGAGGTGGAGAGGGACGTTAACTCCAAAGTGTGTGTTCTGGAAGTGTTTGCTTATAAGCTAGAGGCAGCAGCTGGAAAATGTGTGATCTGGGAGTGCTGAAAAATAGGGATCTCAGAAGGAGGGGAGAAGGTTGTTAGGAGGGGAAGGAGCTAGAGAAAGCCTCAGCTTCCACTCAGACAAGGGCTGAAGTCTTTGCTGGGCCTGGACATTTATCAATTTTTAGAATTATTTTGAAATATTATAGACTCAGAGGACATTGCACAACAGTACACAAAGTCCTGTATACCTTTCACCCAGCTTTCCTCAGTGGCCATAACTTCTCACATTTCAACACCAGCAAGCTGTTGGGGGTCCAATACTATTACCTAGCTTACAGGCCTTATTCATCTTCACCAGAGCTTTACAAGCAGTCATTTGTGTGTGTGTGTGTGTGTGTGTGTGTGTGTGTGTGTGTGTGTGTGTGTATGTACGTGTGGGCACTTCTATTGAATTTCATCCTGTGTAGTTTTAAATAACTACCACCCAAACTCTATCACCCAAATGGAACTTACTGGCTATCTTTATATTCACCTTCCTCATCCCTGCCCCCTGGCAATCATATTTGTTTTTCATCTCAATAGTTTTGTCATTTTGAGAGTATTATATGAGTGGAACGATATAGTGTCAGCATTGTTTTTAATGTAATGAATCCCAACTCTTGGCTCAAATACAAGAAGTTCTCTGGCAGGTTGTTTATTCTAATGCTGAGCTTCCTCCATTCTATGGATCCATGCAGCTTCATTATACCCTCCTCCACCTACAATATCGCCCTTCCATCCAACAATCTGGTCCCACTTCTTCTTTAGGGTAAGTCTACATATCTAAATTTACAGGCTGGGCTAGGGCTCTGCTGTTCCCTGCCCTCCCTTGCTCCACTATTTATAGCCAGGCTAATTTAGGGCAGCCTCTCTCTTCATCTTTCCTACTCTGTTCTCTTGTGGCGGGCAAGGTGACTTCTCAAATATTTGGGCAGAGGAGGTCAGAAGCAGACTCTTGGCATCTGATTTCAGCCTCGGATTTAGCAGAAACAGTGGAGGAAAGATGAAGGGAGGCAAAAGCTGCAGGTGCAGAGGCAGGCAGCTGGGCTCTCAGGCTTTTGACGCTGGCGGGGGGTCTGGGCTGGAGTCGGGAGTCCTGGGTTCTATCCTGACTTGGCTACTCTGCATTCTAGTCAGCTCTATCATCTGGGGCTTGAGATAGAAAAGTATCTGGGAGATAGCAAAAGTAGAGTCCTGGTGGCAGCATGCTGACAGCACGTGTGTTTCCTTCATAGCACCTGTTAGAAGTACCTTAGTCCCCTGGAGGGGATGTCCACAAGGGTAAAGTTACAAAATGGAGGCCCAACCTTCAAATGTATAGTAACTTACTCAGGGAAAGGACTGTCCCTGGGTTATATCACAAAGCGAGCTCATCTGATTTGCTTGCTTGTTTTAAAAATATCATCTTGGACAAAGAAGTGTGAGAGACAAAGGGAGTATGGGATGAGGAATTGGGTAGGACACTTATTGAGGCTTTCAAGAAAGGGAGGGAGAAGAGAGAATCTTAAGAATATGGCAGTGTTTGAGGATGCAGAGACAACATTAGAGACATGGAGAAATAATCTGAGAAAGAGTTGAAATGATAGAGACAAGAAGGGGACAAAACGAGAGTTTGGGATGAGACAAAACCTGATAGAGAGGGAAGGGAAAGATGGACAGATGGAGGTCCACAAGACAGACACTCATTAGGATAGAGAACTAGGAAGGGAGGAGGAGCCAGCGAGGTCCCCTTGTGTCAAATTAATCCCTATCTCTCCTTAGGTCACATTTCTGGACTGGAGTTATAAATAGCAGAGAGTTGGAAAATGTCCCCCCTCCCTTTGCTTCTGTTACAGCGGGAATGTGGATGGGGGGCGGTGGCTGGGGAGGAGAGGAAGAGGGACAGGCCTGGGGGTCCCTGTAGAGATATATTCCTGCAAAGTGCCACCAACATTCTGCCTAGGCCAGCCCAGGGTCTGTTCCCCACAAGCCCTCCTCTTTGGCGAGTGGGAAATGCACAGTCTCGAGAGGGCCAGGGAGCAGGCAACATCCTTCCCATCCCTCTGTCTCTGTGGCTCATCTTTGCCTTTCTTCGGCCCCCATTCCCCCAGCTTGATTTTCTCTTCCTATATCACTCTCAGACTTTCTTTTTCTTCTCCCTTCATCCCATCCCTTGTCGATCTAACCCATGCCCTTCTTTTTCCATCTCTTTTCTCTTCTACCTGCTTCCTTTGTTCTCCTCCTCGGAACTGCTGGATTTTTCTTTCTCTTCTTGCCCTCTGTTCCTGAGTGCTGTTCATGTGGCTACCATGGCTCTTGTCACTGCCGGGCTCTGAGGGGTGGAATGGGACGTGGTGGGAAGTGGTTTAATTGGAACAGCATGTGACCAGGAGAAGAAGGGAGCACTAAGGGACCACACTGGACACGGCCCTAAGACCGCGCCTCCCTTTCACCTCCGCCTTTTCCCTCCCAGTTTGTTCTTCAGCCGCACCCTCCTTCCCTTTTTCAGCCGCTTTCTAACTCTACTTCTCTCCCCTGCCCATCCCTAGGGTCCGCTTCCCCACTGGCGGGCTTGTGCAGGATTGGGGAAAAGGGAGGCACGCGCGGTGGCAGGGCCGGGGCGAGGCTGGCGGGCAGGGAGCAAGGCCGGTTCCCACCCCGAGCCCGCAGCCTGGGCTTACCGGGGCTCCGCGCGGCCTCCACCTGCCGCGGGTGCTGGCGGCGGGCGGGGGCGGCAGGGGGCGGGGCCCAAGGAGCAAGGGGGCGGGGCCCAAGGAGCAAGGGGCGGGGCGGGGCGGCCACGAGCCGCCGCGTGCCCCGGAGTGGACGCCCGAGCGCGGCTGCTGCAGTAGTCGCCGCGGGTGCTGGGGTAGCGGCGCGGCGCGGAAGGGCTGGCGAGGGAGAGGGTTGCGATACCCCTGAAAATCCAGCGTGACTCGAGACCAGACTCTCGCCGCCTTGGGAGACCCGGGGCTCCGGGCGCGAGTGAATTGCCTTGCGCTCCGGGGGAGCACGCGAGGTGTTCGCCCAATGGCTCGGACTTTGGGCCGCGACCCTTGGCTGGGTCCCGGGATTTGTTACCTTCTTGGTTCCCTGCTCGCCGGCCTGCTCTCCCTGCGGGCTGTCGCCTTCAATCTGGACGTGATGGGCGCCCTGCGCAAGGAGGGCGAGCCGGGTAGTCTCTTTGGCTTCTCTGTGGCTCTGCACAGGCAGCTGCAGCCCCGACCCCAGAGCTGGTGAGTCACCGCCCCAGTGCAGAGACCTGGTGCCCGAGCCACAGACCGCCCCCTCCACCTCACCTTCAGTCTTCCAGCCCCACCAAGACCCGGGCTGTACATGGATGTTCCACACCCCAACCTTCCTTATCTGTCGTGTGTCTGGAGGCGCTCCCCCAGGCCCTGAGGGCCAGGGCCTCTCTTTGAGCATAAATTGGAGAGCAAGGTACTTGTCTTGGTAGGGAACTATTTCCCTTTCCCCCAACTTGCTTCCTTGCCAGGCCCAGGGTCTGTGGCTCCCAGCCTTCAGTGGGCTGAATCCCTCCGGGATGAGGACTGAGCATTTTGTCTCTGTAGAGGGCAGGAGAGGGAAGGGCCAGAGAGGCTGAAAGCGTGCTGGGAGGGATGGAGGGCAGACTGCAGGGATGTCTTCCTACCACCGGAGCATTGCCGTGGGGTGGAAAGAGGGCAGCAGGCCCCTAGAGGCGAGACCTGACATTTCGGAGGCTCAAGACCACCGGCAGACTGGGAGGGGATCTGGGAGGGTCTGGAAACCAGCACGGTGTGGTTTGGTGGTGAGAGTGGCAGCACATGGAGCCCTCAGGAGCTGTAGTGTTGATAATGGGGGGAATCTAGTAACCACAATGTCGCTCATGTAAGTGTATATTAATGATAAAAAAAAAAAAAAAAAAAAGAAGCTGTAGTGCCAGCAGCAACAGTTATTCAGGGAAGATGCTGGCCAGGCTGTTCCCCTTCCTCTGCCTTGGGAAGTTTTCAGCTCCAGGAATCTCAGCAGTGGGGAAGGCAGGGTTGAGTGAGGGGCAGACGGCAATTCTGGTTATTTTCTAATCATTCCAGGACCCATGCGAGATGGACACACTTGTGTGGGGGGGCCTGTGACTGCCATGCTTCCTGTGCTACTGGCTCCAGCTATATGTGTAATTAAACAAAACAAAACAAAACAAAACAGTGGCAAGGGCTCTCAAGAAAGCACAAGAAAGCTTCCCACCCCCTCCTGACAGGGTGTTCTTTTTGCCCCTAGGCCAGAGCCTAAAGCCACACTAAGTATCCATTCCTGGGAATCAGTGCTGCCTCCTGGGACTGTCTCCTTCCTGCTCCTGCTGGCTTGGGGGCAGAGGGTGGGGACAAGAGTACATTTCTCTTCCCCTGTCAGGGAGGAGGGGTCTCTAATCTTTTTTTTCACATTATCCCTGTCATCACGGAGTAGGGTCAGTAGTACCCCAAACTTTGGGAAAGAGAGGTGATGGACTTCATCTCTTCAACCTTCTATCCACTTCCTCGGTCATCTCTTTCTCCCGCCCTCCCTCCTTCCCCCATCTGCCAGAGTTCCAGGACTGGAGGCCTTTTTAGGACATGCTGAACTCTCTGAGCTATTTCCAGGCAAATTCTAGGTTATTTTTAATAGCTTGGTCTCTTGTCATTTCCCCCTCCTCTCTGAAGGTGGCCCCTGATTCTGTCTCTCAGAGCCAAGCAGTGGGCCTTCCCTGACGAGCCTGACTGCCCAACCCTGCCTTTGTTCCAGCAGGGGGCGCTCTGCTGTCTGGGGGCCCCTGGGAGACCTGGTACCTTGCTCAGTCCCTAACTTTTGAGTGGCAGGTTGCCTTCTCCAGCACTCACTGATTGGAAGTGCTCACATGATTTGATGTCTGTCAGTCTTGTCCCCGGATAAGACTTTGAAGTCTAACCTTCTTTGCTGTGTGGTAGTTTCAGCCTCATTTATATCCTTCAGCATAAAATGGAGTTAATAGTACTATACAGAGTTGTGGGGATTACGAGTTGTCAGTGTAGGTGAAGTGTGTAGAATTGTGTAAGGCCCATGGTGAGTGCTATGACAGTGTCAGTATATCGTTCCTGCATCGTGGTCTGTGGAGCTGGAGAACAGCTTTAGTGCAAAACAGTGAGCCTGCATGGAGAGGCTTGGCTAGAGCCCCTCCAGGCTGAGCCGGCCTTCATGCCAGGCATCCTCCCTGGAGGGCCACCCAGACTGAGAGAGTCAGGGCTGGGCTTGGGTCAGAGCTCCGGAGTGTATGGAGGGCTGAAGGAGCGGTGGTCATTGGCTACGCCTTCACCTTCACTTAGCCAGGCTCTCAGGCAGTTCCTCTGTCAGCAGCTGCCAACATGTTTTTTTGCCTTTCTCTGTGCAGTGGCGGCACTGTGGCTACTGTTCTATCCAGAGGCTTGGGGTGGTTGGGTATCAGGGGCGAAGCTAGGAGAGTGTGTGGCTGGGGCAGAGGTAGAGGGACGGGAGAGGCTGGCAATTCTTGTTCAAGGAGGTGGGCCTGTCCTCCATCAGGAGTGGGGCTGGGTGGGCGTAGCTGTGTGCTCAGCTTCTTTGCTCTGTGTGGGCGGCTGCCGTCCCTCCTCCTCACCTCCGGGGGAGGGGCGAGCACTGAACACCAGCTGTTAGCTTCTGGTTGCTGCGCGCTGACCAGCTGAGGCACTGGGTGTCTCTGTGAGTCCGCATAAAGTGTGGGTCCAGCGAGCGCACCCGGCTGCCTGCTGTGGGTGAGCACAAACACAAATGGCAACCCAGACCCTCCGAAAGGTGGCCCACCTGAGTCTGGAGGCTGGGGCACTTTGGACTGGCCTGAAGGTTGGCATTACCACCTGGTGTCTTTTTCTGCCTGGGGCTCCCCTTCCCTCCCCTTCCTTTCTGGGGTGGTCTCAGCCTTCTGGAGATGACCTGTCACTGGGTGTGGCAGATAAGTCATAGTATCAGAGTCAGGCAGGTATGGATTTGAATGCCAGCTTATGTGTCTGTTTCCTCATCTCAAAGACAAGAAAACCATCCTCGCATGGGATTGTTGGGAAGAGTAAATGAGCTAATGCCCATAACTCATTTAGCCTGGTGTCTGGCACATAGAGGGTGATAAATGTTAGTTCTTCATGTCCTTGGCCTCTAACCCAGGGTCTGACCCATAGTAGGTGCTGAATAAATATTACTTCCTTGTCTCACCAGGGCCTGACATGGCGCTTGGCAGATGATAGGTCGTCAGTAAACAGTTATTAATGAATGCCGAATGTATGCTCTCTTCCCTGCTACTTCCCATCCTCTTGCCACTGGCTCCGATGTAGGGTGACAGCTGCTAAGAGACAGGAACAGTTGTGGGAAGGGAGAATGGCTCTGTGTCCTCCCTTCCCCCTGCCCATCAGAACTGGCACAGTGCCCCCTAGATGCCCTTCTGTAATATTGCCAGACACAGGCAGGGGTCTTGTGCCCTCTGCCTCCCCAAGAAAGATGAAGGAAGAGAGTGTGGGTCAGAGGCCTTGAGGTTTGCCTGCTGCCACTTTGCTCCTCCTGCGAAGAGAGGATCCCTGTAGGCAGCTGCTTATCACCTCACCTAACCCCTCCTTTACTCCTGGCCTTGGGGTTTGGCCCCAGGGGAAGCTGGCTGTCTCCATTCCCAGCACAGTCCTCCCCAGGGGAGGAAGCCTTGGCTGTGATCATGGAAAATTGTTCCTGCCAAGAAAGCTGTAGCTGGGAAAGAGTCTAAGGGGGAGTAGGGGAGAAGACTGGGTGGGGGTGGGGAGGTGGGAAGAATGGGGAAAATCATAGATGTGGGGAGGGGAAGGAAGGATGGGATGTGGGGGAGAATGGGAGGATTGGAGGCCAAATCAGAAACTCATCCCTACTTCCATGCCAGCAGAGTGACTGACAGATTTCTGATCTGGCAAGGTTGCTGGGGGGTGGGCTCTTTGATGGGCCCCTGATGAGGGGCTGGGGAAGTAGGTCCCTTTCTAGTCTCTTGGTTGGCCTCTGATGCTGGCTGGTCCCTGGGCCACCTCGCAGTGCCACTCTGGGCCCCGGTTACATTTGCTCCCAGCATTTTGGCATTTTTGGGAGGGTTTCATCTGGCCTTGGGTTGGGGAGAAGGGCAGAGCTTGGGGATGGGGCCAGGGAGTGGGATTGAAAGGCCTGGTCAGGAACAGGTGCTGGGGACAGGTGGTTCTTTCAAATCAACGGTTCTGGCCAGGCTGCTTGCATTGGTGCTTGTACGTAAGTGTGTGTGTGCTGTGCGTGTGGTCCCTCACCCAGAATGTGCATACATAACATGGTGATTGCTGTCCTGAGGGTATTAATTTGTCCTTGCCAGGGCTTGGAAAAATGGACTTTTGGCCCTTTTCCTCAGTCCTTCAACACTCTTTTCTTGCTGAGGAGTTGGGCCAGGGTAGGCAGCTCTGGGGAGGTGGAGCATTCTGGCCCCTGACTCCTGCCCCTGCCCTGTTGTGCAGGCTGCTGGTGGGTGCTCCGCAGGCCCTAGCTTTGCCTGGGCAGCAGGCGAATCGCACCGGAGGCCTCTTCGCTTGCCCCCTGAGCCTGGAAGAGACTGACTGCTACAGAATGGACATCGACCGGGGAGGTGTGGGTCCTGTGGGGGTTGTGTGGGGAGCCCAGGAGGAAGGGAGGAGAGGACTGGGGCTCCTCTTCCCTCCCCTGATTCCCAGTGTCTTGCCTCCAGCTGATGTACAGAAGGAGAGCAAGGAGAACCAGTGGTTGGGAGTCAGTGTTCGGAGCCAGGGGCCCGGGGGCAAGATTGTCGTGAGTACCACTCCTTCTGACTGTGTGCGAGGGTAGTGTGTATGTGTGTGTACGTACCTGTATATGGTGTGTGCATATGTGCAGATATGCTTATAGAACACAGGATGGGAATATGGTATGATAGTCTGATTCTCAGACTGTAAAACATGATCTCTGTCTTTGTACCCTTAAAAGCATCTAACTATGCATGCATCCATCCATTTGTCAAAATTACTGAGAACCTTTGCAGCATCAGGTATCATGGCAGTTTCTGAGAGAACGTATGTAAAGACAGGGAAAAACCTGGCCCATGGCTCAAATGGCTTACTAAGTAGTTCTGGAGCTTCTCATTCTCTCATTCCATGTCTCTTTCTCTGTATCATCAGTAATTTGCACACACATCCTTAGTAATACAAGTCACGATGGGGCAGAATATGGGCACTTTTGAGTGAGTGTATAGTCCCCAGTCTGTTAAAGCCCAAAGAAGGAGGGGAGAGAAAGGACTCCTGCAGGTGGGGTGACTGCAGGCTTTCAAGAATAAGCAATACTTGGAGAATGGAGATGGGAGAAGTTCTCTGCAGACTAGGTGATTGCACTTGCCAAGGTCCAGAGACAGGACCAAGCTGGGGATAGTCTCGTATTACATGATCAAGGAGACGTGAGTGCTCTGTGCTGGCTTGGTGGTGCCTGTGGGTGCCCAGGCAGAATGCCAAATGAGGTCTTCTTCCTGCAGGGGCAAGGAAGTGGGTGCAGGCAGGACAGGGGTTATGTCTGTACCTGCCTAACTTTGTGCTCGAGTGATGCCGGCATGGCTGTGCATGTGCCCACACAGGAACTGGTGTCTGCTGAAGGTCTACATGTGGGTCCCTGGTCCACACAGGGGAATGATCCTCATCCTTTCCTCCCATAGACCTGTGCACACCGATATGAGGCACGGCAGCGAGTGGACCAGGTCCTGGAGACGAGGGATGTGATCGGTCGCTGCTTTGTGCTAAGCCAAGACCTGGCCATCCATGATGAGTTGGATGGCGGGGAGTGGAAGTTCTGTGAGGGCCGCCCCCAGGGCCACGAGCAATTTGGGTTCTGCCAGCAGGGCACGGCCGCAGCCTTCTCCCCAGACAGCCACTATATCCTCTTTGGGGCCCCAGGAACCTATAACTGGAAGGGTGAGTCACTCCTCAAAGGAGGGGACAAGGGAACCAAAACGTCCTCTTAGCTCAGGGAAGGGATGGGGGCAGCACATGGCCTAGCATGCCCACATGTTCCCTGCCATGATGCCTGGGGCACTGCCATGCCTGCCACCCATCCTGTCAGTACACACAGAGGGCCACCCCTCTCCTCTGCATGGCCGAGTGCTCCTCCACATGCCAGCATGGCCCCCATGCGGCTGGGCCTGCACGCTCCTGCAGACTGCCCCACTGTGTCCCGTCTCCGCACTCAGCCTCTAGCCGAGCGGACACTCGGTGAGTGGACCGAGCCTGGGCTGGGGTCAGGGTGGAGATGGGGCTGGAAGGAGAGGCGGGGCTCTCTGGGCACCTGTCAGCTAGTGTGGGCCTGAGGGGACCCTTGCACCTGCTCTGGGCAGTAACAGGTCTGTCCTTACAGGCACGGCCAGGGTGGAGCTCTGTGTGCAGGGCCCAACGGACCTGGTGCACCTGGACGATGGGCCGTACGAGGCGGGGGGTGAGAAGGAGCAGGACCCCCGCCTCATCCCAGTCCCGGCCAACAGCTACCTTGGTAGGGACCCCACCCGTCCTGGAGCCGGTCTAACCTGCTGCTCCCCTCTCTTGTCCTCCCTCTCCATGTCCCATCCTCCTGTCTCTGTCCTTCACCCTGTCTCTGTCTTTCCATCTCTGATGCTTATCTCCCTGGTTTCTTTCTCTCTCTCATGTTCTTTCTCCACCTCTTCTTCTACCTTCTTGCTTTTCTGTCTGGCTATCTCCCTTCTCTGTCGCCCCTCCTCTGGATGTCCCTTCCCTGGTGTCTCCCCCCTGCCCCTGCAGGGTTGCTCTTTGTGACCAACATTGATAGCTCAGACCCTGACCAGCTGGTGTATAAAACTCTGGACCCTGCTGACCGGCTCCCAGGACCAGCCGGAGACTTGGCCCTGAATAGCTACTTAGGTTTGTAAGCTCCCACCCACGTCCTTCTGGGCCCTGGGGGCTTGGCCTGGCCTCCCCTTCTCTCCTGCCATGCCCCTACAACACACCCCTGGGGGAACACATATTGGGCCCAAGTTTCAGAAAAGAGCTGGGCCCAATGACCAGGCCCGGGAAGAAGAGGCCCCAGTGGGGATAGCCTATGGGGCTGTGAACAGGGGTCTCCATGGAGGAAGGACCAGGTGGACTGAGACCATACTGGGAAGGAAGGAGGTCAGACCCCTAGGGGGACTTCCTCTGAGGGATGGGTGGTAGGTGCCTGCTGGAGAAAGGTTGGCAAGTGCCCCATCGTCTTATCTGCATCCTCCTGCAGAGGAAGAGGAAATGAGGCCTGGGAGGTGTTTGGGTGAATCAGCTCTTCTCCATTTGCCCTCATCTCCCCTGTCCACGTGAATGACTTCCTCTCCCTGCCAGAGTGGTAGAAGTGGGGGCAAAGGAGGGGAATTGGATAGGATTGGGGCCTTCAAGGGGTGCAGAGTGGAGAGCAGCTGTCTGGGAATCCTCTGAGCAGTGGCCCAGCAGCCCTTGCAGTGTGCTCAGCCTCCTGCCCAGTTGTCCAGCCAGGGCCTTTCCTTCCTCCCGGTCCCCACGACCAACCTCATTGCACTCCTTGTGCCAAACTCTGGCCTGGGCGTGAGGGGGCTGCCAGGCTCTGAGGGGGAGAGCGGCCCAGCTGTGTGCCAACTTGGAGACCACCTCCACCTTTTTCTCTGGAGCTGTGCGGAGGCTGTGTCTGGAAGCTGCCGAGACTCATTGGCTCCTGTGGGGACGAGGGTTGCTCACTGTGAAGTCATCCCCACCCAGGTTTCTCCATCGACTCGGGGAAGGGTCTGTTGCGTGCAGAGGAGCTGAGCTTTGTGGCAGGAGCCCCCCGAGCCAACCACAAGGGTGCTGTGGTCATTCTTCGCAAAGACAGCGCCAGTCGCCTTGTGCCTGAGGTTATGCTGTCTGGGGAGCGCCTGACCTCTGGGTTTGGCTACTCGCTGGCTGTGGCTGATTTCAACAATGATGGGTGAGAGCAGGCAGAGGAGAGTGCATCCTGGGGGAGGCTGGGTCAGGAGGTGTGAGAGGCATCTCCAGAGTCCCCTGGCTGGGGAGACACACACTAACTGTCTCCCTCTCTCCATAGCTGGACAGACCTGGTAGTGGGTGCCCCCTACTTCTTTGAGCGCCAAGAGGAGCTGGGGGGTGCCGTGTATGTGTACATGAACCAGGCGGGCCACTGGGCTGGAGTATCCCCTGTCCGGCTCTGTGGCTCCCCTGACTCCATGTTCGGGATCAGCCTCGCTGTCCTAGGGGACCTCAACAAGGATGGCTTCACAGGTGTGACTGGGACTCGGAAAGGCTCAGGGGAGGAAAGCAGGGGCAGAGGTGAGGAAGTGCCTTACAGGTCAAGGGGGAGGTCCTCTGAGGGCTCAGGGAGTGGAGCAGCCAGGCTCACATGAGCTTTACTATTCCCCAGCTTTGTGACCTTGGGCAAGTAACCTTTCTGAGCAGGCAATATCTACAGAGCAGCTGAGAGGGTTAAAAATGATGTGTGTGAGGTGCCCAGGACTTAGTAGCCTCCCAACCGACTGAGGCAGAGTTGGGGCCTGGACCTGTCATTGCCCCCATCCAACTGCCCTTTCCCATGCCTGCAGATGTTGCTGTGGGGGCTCCCTTTGATGGGGATGGGAAGGTCTTCGTCTACCATGGAAGCAGCCTGGGGGTTGTCACCAAACCTTCCCAGGTGATGAGTGGGTGCTATTGGGATGAGGGAATGGGTGCAGGTGGGAGGAAGTGGGAAGAGCAGTGGAGGGCGGGGGAGGCAGAGAGCGGGTGATGGTGTGGGGATGCTCACAGTGTGGTCTTGCAGGTGCTGGAGGCTGAGGCTGTGGGTTTAAAGAGCTTCGGCTACTCACTGTCAGGAGGCCTAGATGTGGATGGGAACCTTTACCCCGACCTGCTGGTGGGCTCTCTGGCTGACATGGCAGTGCTCTTCAGGTGGGCCCTTCCCTCCTCTCTGTCCTCCTGGAGCCACGAGCCCCACTCTAGTGCCAAGTCTGGGGCTGAAGAGCCCACCTATCTCCCCTCTTTCCCAGCCTCATGTTTCTTGTACTCTCGACTTCCCATTCCCCAGGGCCAGACCTGTCCTCCATGTCTCCCATGAAGTCTTCATTGCTCCGAAAACCATTGATTTAGAACAGCCCACTTGTGCTGGCGGCCACTCGGTCTGGTGAGACAGGATCAAGGAGAGGGTGGGGGAGCTTCCAGTCTAGTCTCTCCCTCTTTTTCCTTTCTTTGCCCAGTTTGGGGATGGAGGCTGGGGCTATGGTAGGAGTGGAGCCCAGGCCCATGAGCTGTGCCTGGCTCAGGAGCTGCCTTTTGCCCCCACAGTGTGGACCTAAGGGTCTGTTTCAGCTACATGGCCACCCCCAGCAGCGATAGCCCTATTGTGGGTGAGTGAGGTCCCCTCCTACATTCTACCCTATTGGGTCTCAGGGTCTGAGGTGGAGAGGAGGGTTCCTGGGGACAGTGTCAGATTGGAGCTCCCCAGCTCACTGGCTCCTTTCCTCTCCCCACATATTACAGCCCTGGAATATGTGTTAGATGGGGACACAGACCGGAGGCTCCGGGGCCAGGTCCCCCGTGTGACCTTCTTGAGCCGTAGCCCAGACGACCCCAAGCACCAGGCCTCAGGCACCATGTGGCTGAAGCACCCGCATGACCGAGTGTGTGGAGATACCATGTTCCAGCTGCAGGTGGCTGCTGACCCCTTGGCCTCTGAGGGTCAATGCCATGACATCATCTATTCCTTGATTTCTTCGAGCTTCCCTGACACACTCACATCTCATTCTGAGGTCTTGGGTTTTGAGAAGCCTCTCTTTTGGTCTGACCTCTTCTCCTACTGCCCTCCTGTGCCTCCTTTCAAGTTCTGGACTCCCTGGAGGTGGAGATGGGAGGTCCCATGGTCACATCTGATCTTCAAGGCCCTAACTCCAGGGTTTTCTGTCTGCACCCCAGTCATTCTCCACCTCTCTCCTTTATCTCCCTAGGTTTATTTCCAAACTTCAGAATCTCTCCTAGGTCTGGCTGAAGTTTTGGACAGGGCTGGGGCCCCGGGATTGTTCTAGTATCCACATCCATCTTTTCCCTTCCCAGGAAAATGTCAAAGACAAGCTTCGGGCTATTGTGGTGACCTTGTCCTATAGTCTCCAGACCCCTCGGCTCCGGCAACAGGCTCCTGGCCAGGGGCTGCCACCAGTGGCCCCCATTCTTAATGTCCACCAGCCCAGCACTGAGCGGGCAGAGGTGAGAGGGGTTCTGGCTTAGCACAGGTGAAGGAGCAGTGGGATGAGGATCATGGTCCTTACTGGCACACTTGTTCATAGCTTGCAAGGCTCTCTCACATGCTACCCCTGTAGTTTCTCATATCTCATGGTGCTGTGACAAGTAGACTCCCAAATCCAAAATGGTCCAGATGATCTTGTGCTCCTAGTCAGAGGGGAAACTGCTCCTGTATTCTGTGCATTTGTTCAGGGACTGGGCTGGTGGGAGTCTGCCACCTTCAGATGTGGTGCAGGGAGTACGAAGCACCATGTGTGATTCTTGTGACCAGTCCTCAGTGGCCTTCCTTGTTCTCATGCTTTAATCCTGGAACTCAGTTATGTGCAAGGAAGGCTAGGGAATGTGGTCTCACTGTGGACTAGCCTGCTGTTCTCTACCACAGCATGGCAGCACACCCAGCATTTCACTGATGAGGACCCAGCTCAGAGTGGTTCAGTGGCCAGCTCAATACTACACAGCAAATAGGCAGCAGATCTGAGAGCTGATCCCAGGTTGCTGAATCCTGTGACACTCTACCCCGCCATATGCCTTGGTAATACAAGTACCCCCTGCCTCCTGCCCTAGGAATGCTTCACCCTTTCCTCAAATCTCTCCCTAGATCCACTTCCTGAAGCAAGGCTGTGGTGAAGACAAAGTCTGCCAGAGCAATCTGCAGCTGGCCCACGCCCGCTTCTGTGCCCGGGTCAGCGACACAGAGTTCCAGCCTCTGCCCATGTGAGGGGGGTGAGGGAACAGGTGGGGTGGGAAGGTGAGGCTCCAGGAGTGGCTGGAAGCTCCTCAGGAGGCCAGGCAGAGAAAGGGCAGGAGGTGGGGTGGGCCTGCGGGCTGAGTGCCACAGGGCCCTTCCTGGTCAGGAATAACCAGCTTGTAATGATACGGTTTACACACATCTCAGGGCCCAGTGAGGTGGAAATGATTATTAGTAATTTGTAAACTTGTGGATGGGGAGTGGGGACCCAGAGAGGCTAAGTTACTTGCCCCAGGTGAGGAAGTGGTGCAGCTGGGGCCAGAATAGAGGCCTCCTGACCTGGGCTGGTGCTCTCAGTGTGGCCTGGGGTGTAAGGCAATTTGGGGGACCTGGGTGGGAGAAGAGGCTCAGGGAGTGAAGGCAGACAGCATGCGCTGGGGAAGGAGTTCAGCTCTCAGAGTGAGCGGCGTCTGACCCTGCAGGGATTCAGATGGGACAACAGCTCTGTTTGCCCTGAGTGGGCAGCCAGTCATGGGCCTGCAGCTGAAGGTCACCAACCTGCCTTCAGACCCAGCCCAGCCCCAGGCCAATGGAGATGATGCCCATGAAGCCCGGCTCCTGGTCACCCTTCCTGCCCCTCTGCATTACTCAGGGGTCCGGGCGCTGGACCCTGCGGTGAGGACCTGAGGCAGGGTGGGTGGGGTCTTGGGGGCCCAGGAACTCAAACTGACCTCTCCTTGTCTCCCCACTCCAGGAGAAGCCTCTCTGCCTGTCCAATGAGAATGCCTCCCACGTTGAGTGTGAGCTCGGGAACCCCATGAAGAGAGGTGCCCAGGTTGGCACGTCTGCCCTTACCCCTGTCTGGGTGACTCTAGCCCTGGACCCCTCCTCAAGCACCCCCTTCCCCAGACTCTAACCTTGTTCCTTTCCTGGCTAGGTTGCCTTCTACCTCCTCCTTAGCACCTCAGGGATCACTATTGAGACCACGGAGCTGGAGGTGGAGCTGCTGCTAGCCACGTGAGCCAGGGCCCAGGGTGGGGCTGCTGGGCTGGTGACACCTGAAAGGGGCTCTGTTGTTCTCCCTGACCCTGGGATGGTGCCTGTGCCCCCTGTTCACACCTGCCCTGCCCCATGCCAGGATCAGTGAGCAGGAGCTGCATCCGGTCTCTGCCCAAGCCCGAGTCTTCATCGAGCTGCCACTGTCCATCACAGGGTAAGCCCTGCTCACGCGGGCTCCTCCGCCAGGGGTCAGGCATTGCCACCCAAGCCCCAGCCTGGCCCTGCCTCCTGGACCGGCATTCCACCAGGCACCAGGCCTCTTCAGGCCCCATTTTGACTCCTCCACACCAGGGTGGCCATTCCCCAGCAGCTCTTCTTCTCTGGTGTCGTGCGGGGTGAGAGTGCCATGCGGTCTGAGTGGGATGTGGGCAGTAAGGTCAAGTATGAGGTCACGGTAAGTGTCCTGGTAAGGCCCCTCCCTTCTCGGCACAGAGGAGAGGCCCAGGCATATGCCAAGGGCTGCAGCTCCTCTACCAATAGGAGCTGGTGACCAGCAAGCTTGGGGCTTCCCCCAGTTCCTGGGCCTTGGCTGGGGACAGGTGCTGGTGTTGGGTCATCGATGGACATTTCCTGGTCATTCCTGTATGGCTGTCTCACCTGCTGGCCCAGGAGGCTGGGAGGGCCTGGGAAGCTTCCATCTCACCTGCTGACCCGGGAGGCCAAGGTGCTGGGAAGCTTTGCTTCCAGGGGCCCCAGCTGGAGGAATGGAGACACCGTGGGAGGGCTCTCCCTGGAACCTGCCCTTGCATGGCTGGAGCCTCCTGGTGACATCTCCAGGTTTTTCTGGGCTTTTGGTGGGTAGAGAATGGTGCCTGGTGTGTCTAGGATCCTGAGTCTTTGTTGAAACTGTACTTCCCTAGGCCTTCCCCTCATCCCTGTCCCCTCCATCTCTGTGGATTTAGGACCTGCTCAGAAACTGGGCTCCCTCCTTTTGCTCTCCACTGTGCCCACAGGTCTCCAACCAAGGCCAGTCTCTCAACACCCTGGGCTCTGCTTTCCTCAACATCATGTGGCCCCATGAGATTTCCAATGGGAAATGGCTGCTGTACCCCATGCGGGTGGAGCTGGAGGGAGGGCAGGGGCCTGGACAGAAGGGGCTCTGTTCCCCTAGGCCCAACACTCTCCGCCTGGTAAGACCCAGGAGCTAGAAGCAAGGGGAGGGGTCAGGGCTGGGGGAGGGTACCTTGAGCAGGGAGTGTGGGTGGTGGGGCAGGAGGAAGGCAGTGCAGAGGAGATACCTACCATCTCAGGGGTGCTGTATTTGGCGGGACACTCACTGTACCCCTTTCCCCACACCCAGGATGTGGACATCAGGGACAGGAGGCGGCGGGAGCTGCAGCTGCTGGAGCCGCCAGAGCCACATGAGTTGCCAGTGTGGAGCCCATCCTGGTGGCCAGTGTCCTCTGCTGAGAGGAAGAGAAATATCACCTTGGTGAGAGTGGGGCAGACCTGGTGCAGTAGGTGGGATAGCAGGTGGTGGGCATCCTGGGAGGCTGACTTGTTGAGTCTGCATGGTCAAACACCTGGGGCAGATTGACACCTGCCAAGTGCTCACTGCAGAGCAGGGCATGTGCCTCCAGCTTGGTGAGCTGCCCCATGGGGTCTCCTCACACTTATGTGAAAGATGGCATTTTACAGGGGGATGGGCTGATTTTAGCCCTTGTTGTTTTGAACTCTTTCAGGAAGAAAAAGTCAGTTTGCATGAGAAAACCTGCTTGATTTTCACAATGTGAAAAACATTTTCTAGAAGTTCTGATAATTGAAATGACAGTATGTTAGGTGGTTCGTTAAAGCTGTCCCTTTTAATTCCCCTTTTGCTACTTGTTTCACATAGTTTTGTTCTTTAAGTGGATTTGTTGAGAGATCAGCACATGCTCTGCACTTATCCCTTCTTGGATGGCACTAGCAGGGAGAGTGTGGGGCGGACACAGATTAGGGGGTATTTGGCCTGGCTGCAAGGAGATGAACCCCAGGCATGGAAAGGTGGGCAATAGAGGCCAGAAGTCAAAGAGGCCCTTTGCAGGGGGTGTAAGCAGTTGGGCCAGCACTGGCGTCATCTGTGTGGGAGGTGGTGCCACTGTCACAACCCGGTTCTCTCGGGGCCCCTCAGCTTCCCTACCCTCTGAGAGCATGGCGCAATGAAACACGAAGGCATGGGGTAATGTGAGCTGTTGCAATGGCTGTCTCCCCATTATATGCATAGTCCTGCCTTCTCCAAGTGACTGATTTTGTCTGAAAGGCCTCCCTTTTTGATAAGAACTTTGAATTGATTCTTTTACTTAAAATTGTTTTTAGAGAAATTCACCAAGGATTCTTGAATTGCTCAAAAATAATGGATGGCACAAAGAATTCGAACACTCTCAAAGCCATTCTTCCGCATAGGAAGTGTGGTGAAAATAACATAAATTTTAGGCAAATGGGCCATTAGGTGGGACTGGGCCAAATGGATTTAGGTCAGGCTTGGAAGTTGCAGGAGGGCCTCAGTCCCCAGTGCCCCACTGCTGCTCCTGGGGCGGCCTCTCCCTTCTTCGGTGAGTCTGGCTCAGCACAGGAGGGCGGCTCTGTCTAACCTGGGTCTGGGTTCACGTATCTGCTCCACCACATCCCAGCTTTGCTGTGATGTGAGGCAGGTCCCCTGGCCTCTTTGGACTTTTATTTCCTAGTTTGAAAAATGGGGATGATAATAATGTGCACCTTGCAGGACTTGTGAAGCTTAAATGAGATAAGTACCTTGCAGATAGTTGGTACTCAGTAGATGGGACCATCAGTAGGAAATACAAACATCAATTGGGAGCTTCTGTACCTGCTGCTGTCAAGTAAGAGACCCCTCCCTGTTCCCCATGAATTTCAAAGCCAAATAGCCCTGATCTGGGGTAGGCTGCTATTTTGGAACACAGGGTTAGATTATTATTATTATTATTAGGGAAGACTTCCTGGAGAAGGAGAGTTTGAGGCCAGGTAAGGAAAATGGGAGAGATGTGAATGAGGAGCAGGGGGAAAACAGGATCCAGGGTGTGGGGGCTCACGGAGGGATGGAGTGAAGTGTCTGGGCAGCCTGTGTCTGTGTGACCACCTTTGTAAGGGCGCTGGGCTCAGGGCTGGCTCAGTGGGCTGGACTCAGGGTCTTGCCTGTCTCTGTGCAGGACTGTGCCCGTGGTACGGCCAGCTGTGTGGTGTTCAGCTGCCCTCTTTACAGCTTTGACCGTGCGGCTGTGCTGCACATCTGGGGCCGGCTCTGGAACAGCACCTTCTTGGAGGTGAGAGCAGTGCTGGATGCCAGGTGGGCGTCCTGTACTCCAGCAGCACCCCCAGGACCCCTCCTCCGATCTCCTCCCTGTCCAGATGCAGCACTCTCTTAACCCTAGACAGGCAGAAACCCCCTGTGTTATGCATGATTCCAGGTGCTGGGAGGCAGTGGTCGGGGGGGGGCACAGGGCATTCAGGAAGAGGGTCTCCTTCCCTGCTCCCTTAGGAGTACTCAGCCATGAAGTCCCTGGAAGTGATTGTCCGAGCCAACATCACTGTGAAGTCTTCCATCAAAAACCTGCTGCTCAGAGATGCCTCCACAGTGGTGAGCTGCAGGGCTGGGGTAGGGGTGGGGGTGGGGGTGGGAATCTCCTCTCTCTGTTGCTGCAGCCCTTGGTGCCTTAACCCCTTGCTCCCCAGATCCCAGTGGAGGTATACTTGGACCCTGCAGTGGTGGGGACGGCGGGAGTGCCCTGGTGGGTCATCCTCCTGGCGGTGCTGGCTGGGCTGCTGGTGCTGGCGCTGCTGGTCCTGCTCCTGCGGCAGGTGAGACAGCGGGCGGTGGCCTTTGTGCCGTGCTTCTCTCATCCCCACCCCCTCATCCACTCAGCAAGTGTGCACTAAGCTCTTACCCTTCATGGACCAGGATGTTTCAGGGATAAGTCACATGCAGGTCTTGTCCTCAGAGATTTACTAGTTTAGTGCGGTGGGTAGTGAGCCTTGTGTAGTCGAGGACATGGAGAGAAAGCTTGAGACCACTGGAGGCAGAGAAATGTGGTCTGATTTAACTAGAGCATGGCAGGAAAGGCTGGGAAGGAAACTCACCAAGAAGGCCAACAGTGGATCCTCCAGAGCTGAACTGGGAGCCCGCACATACTAAGCGCTGCCTGAACAGTGTTGTACAAAGTGTGTAGAGAACCACATTTGTGTCCGAGTCACATGAAAAATGCACATGCACATGGCGTACAGGGAATCATCTCCCCACCGGTGGTCATACCTTGGCCGCATGCCACCTCTGGGCCTTGTGGAACCATGCATGTCCTTGGGGCGCTATGGAGAATTGCCCGCACTGCCTCAGGCCCAAGAACACCCTTTGGCAAATGTGAGTCGTTAGTGGATGGGGCCCTGGAAGAGGGTCCAAACTGTTGGGTGGGAACCTGGCCAGTCTTAGGGAGATTGATGCCTTCAAGAAAGTGGTTCCAGGATCCCTGCTCCCTGCTGTCATGGAAGGGGACAGAGCAGAGATAAGGGCCTCAATCCCTCCTCAGGGTTCCCATGCTCCATCTCTTCTGCTCCCCTCCTCCCTTGACATCCCAGTGTGGCTTTTTCCATCGGAGCAGCCAGAGCACATCTCCCACCAACTATCACTGACCATGCAGTCCTCAGCCATGGAAGTTGGGGGCCCAGGGACTGTGGAGTAACTGTTTTGTGTGTGTGCATGTGCATGTGTGTGTGTGTGAAGGTATCTATGTGTGTGAATGCAAGTAGAGCTCCAGCATTCAGGGACAAGGAATGTGCAGGGTGAAGAACTGAGATGGCACGAGGGTGGTATGGGTCTGAGGGACTGGGTGGGGGTAATTGTAAGGGTGAGTGCACACTGCCTGGGGCATGTACAAAGTGTCGGGTCAGAGAATGACCATGTGGAAGTGCAGGAGGAGCCATCCATGTCTTTTGTATGGGCATGAGTGTGCAGAGAGAAGTGTGCAAGGAGACAGTGCAGTCTGAGCATGTGGGAGTCTTGGGCAGTCATGAGTGAGTATGCAAAGGGCCCATTTCCACGTCAGGCGGTATGACCATGATTTAGGGAGGGGCCCTGCCCTGAGGTGATGCTGCCCAGTGTCCCAGTACACAGGGTGGTTGTGTATGACGCTTGAGAGGGGTCATATGGACTGTGCTGAGGTCTAGGAGGCTGGGCTTTCCCTCAGATATCATTTCTGTTCTGGTGGATGCTACTGGGTCTCTTAAAAAGCTTGGGTGGATGGATACTTTTGGGGTCAGTGGTTCTGATATTCCACCTTCAACCCCGACTTTCAGACACCAAGGGAGATTCCTTGGTCCTGCACACTGGGCCCTCATCTGCATCTTTCTTTTGCTGTGAATGTCCCTGGGGACCCAGCACTGGTGCTGCCACCGGGGGAGGTACTCACGGCAGCGGGTGCTGCCCAGTTGGCCTCTTTTCTGCTACAGTTGGTTCTTTCTGTCCCAGAGATGGCGGGGGCCGGGAGCTGGGTTGTGCTGGCCACCTCCTCCAGGCATCTCAGCCCTGCAGACTCCTCATGTCTAGCCTGCTGTCTTTACAGATTGGATTCTTCAAGAGGGAGCAGTACCCCGAGGCCACTGTGCCCCAGTACCACGCGGTGAAGATACCTCGAGAAGACAGACAGCAGTTCAAGGAGGAGAAGACAGGCACCATCCTGCGGAACAACTGGGGCAGCCCCCTGAGGGAGGGCTCCGACGCACACCCCATCCTGGCTGCTGATGGGCACCCTCAGCTGGGCTCTGATGAGCACCCTGCACCAGGCACTGCCTAGCTTCCTCTGTCTCAGCCTGGCTTGTGGGTCCCCTCCCCCCTGTTCCCTAGAGGTGACTCCTCAGGATGCAGAGAGTAGAGTGGGATGCAGGTTTCCCATCAGATTGGTAGCATCTATTTCCTCAGGGACATAGACCTCTTCCCCCATGAGGGCCATTCCCAAGCTTCCCCTTAGAACACTGTGAGATGAGGGGGTAAGTCAGGGACTGTGACGTGGAGGGGGCAGAAGGGAAGAGATACTCTGACGCAGGATGGGGAGAGGGGCCCTGATCCCCTTTTCTCCCATTCACCCTAGTAGCAGGGCTCCAAGGACCTGTCCCTTGAAAGTGCCTTAAGCCCACAGGGTCTGGAGGAGGTTGTGTCCTTACTCAGGGGCTCTTCCCTCCCTAGTTTCCCCTGTCCTCTGACTTTAATTTGCTGCATCAATCTAGTGGATTTTGTCTATTTATTAAAAACTGTTTGAGTCCTGCTCCAGCGTGCCCAGGGCCCAGGAGGGGGCACTTCTCCCTGCATGCCCTCTACTTAGGAGGTGGTGGTGGGAGGGAGGGCCGGAGGCCTGGCAGGGGACCTGTGTCATGACTTCTGTGACCATTCCTGGAGGCACATGGGGTTGGTCTCAGAGCGGGAGGGGGAACTTTGCTATGGGAATGAGAGAAAGGGACAGGGAGCTGCCCTAGGGCCAGGTGGGAAAAGATGGGGAGACTCAGCCCAGAAATTTGCAGAAGTGCAGGACAGGGTGTAATGGCCAGGGTAGGAACAGAGCTTCTCCTCTGCAGCGAGGGATTGAAGGATGGAGTCTCTGGGCAGAGGTGGGGAAGGAGAAATGGGCTTGGGGTAGGGTGGGGAGAATGGCTTCACTCTGCCTCAACAACTTCAGCAGGAGACAGGCTTGCTGGCTGGTGGCATGGTTCTGAACTGGAGGCAGGACATGGGGACGGGCTATTTCACAGCCTTTCCCATGATGTGGGGCCCCACAGGTAGCCACTTGAAGAGTGGGGGTTGTCGTTCCATCTGGAGTTCAGAGAACTGGGCCCTCTCGAGATCCTTCCAGGTCTCTCTGGTGAGGCAGCAGCCGTCCCCAATGTGTTTCCAGGTGGGCTCGGCCACTTGCTGCCACAGGAAGGCCCAGCTTCCACGGGGCTCAGCCACATGCTCCCAGAAAAAGAACACTCCTCCCTGGGAGGGCAGAGTCTGTCACTGACTTGCTGCATCCCGCTGGCTTCCTCTAAGCCCCTGCACCTGCTCACCAAGCCTGGTCTGATGCCTCGGTGAAGGGGGCTGCTGGCCTCTGGGTTTGTGGAGCAAACTGTGCTGCTCCTGACATTTTCTGCATCTCCTGGCCCCTGCCCTCTCACTCAAACTGCATGCGAAGACCCTCCCCATGGAGACAGCTGGTTGAGGTTGTTAAGGGTTGACATAGCAGGGGGCTGATGGATGGGAGATGGAAAAACAGGAGCAGAGATCTCACTGTACACAGAGATGCTCTCTCCTGAGACCCAGATGCACACATCCCACTGCTTCCTGGACATCTTGGCCAGCATCCCAGGAAAACTTCTTCCCAACTCCTGAATAAAGTTATTTTCTCCTCACTCTACCTTTCCTGGATGATCTCATGCACCCTAAGCTCTGAGTTTACCAGCTACAAGCTGGCAACTTCCAAATCTCTATCTGGAGGCTTCATCTTTTCCTGATGTTTGGACGTGGACTGCAAACTGCCTCTGGCTTGCCTATCTGGCTGTCTCCTGGCACCACAGGCCTAGCAAGTGCAAATGAGGCTTGTTCATCCTGGCAAATGGCCTTCTTTGACCCTCGCTCCCTCCCTCCACATGTGCTCCTGCAACCTTCCAGAACTCTCCACACCCAGTTCAAAATCTTACAGACTCCACTTAGCCTAACCACTCCACCTAAAACACACTTTCCCACCTCCCACCCCCAACTCCCTGCTAAATCCCTCAAATCTTAAACGTCACTCCCTAGGCCCCAGCCGCCGCTCCCCTGCTGGCTGTCCCAGCTCCCGCTCTTCCTCATCTGGGTGCTGGGCTCACTTCCACTGGCAGATGGGGGTGGAGGCCAGTGAGCCCACACATCAGGGCTCCCATCCTGGGGCAGCCAGTGCCCAATCCCCTCCCTTGTGGCTCACCGGTCTCAGCACCCTCTGGACCTCCTTCAGGACCCTTGCTGGGCTCTGCACAGAGCATAACACAAGGGTGCTGACCACCACATCCATGGAGCTGTCAGCCAGTTGTTTCATGTCCTCTCCAGGAGCCACCACAAACTGCTCATATTGGAGGTGCCTGTTTTCAGCCATGCTCTTTGTCAGGAACTTCTTGAAGTGGGGATTCGGGTCCAGGCAGATGATCCTACAGCCAGCTGGGTAGAACTGGAAGTTGGCACCGGTACCACAGCCCAGCTCTAGCAGGGCCACCTTCCCAGAGGCTCCCGTAAGTCCCTTTATCTGGCCAAAGAGAGCCCGTTTCTTGCTCTCCATCTTGCGATTGCTCTTGGTGGTCACCACGGCCATCAGGTAGGGGAAGTAGCATCTGCACAGGGGCTGCCAGCAGCCCAGCAGAGCCATGAGGTGCAAGGGCAGCGTCAACAGAAGTAACAGCAGCTGCAGGAGCCAGACTAGTCCGTCCATGGCCGCCGGGCTCCGTGTGGCCGTTCGGGTGCCGCCTTCTATCTGCCCAGCTGCAGTGGACTTTGTGCCCTGCTCACCAACTGCCTCTTCACAAGGCTGGAGTGGGCGTACGGAACCTTCCAGAGTGCGGTTTCCAGAGCCCCACGGGCTCTCCAACAAGCTTTAAGTGGGGTGGAGAATGCATCGTGCCAGCTGCCCTGAGCTCTGGGGGCACTCTGCCCAGCTGGTGGGAGGATGTGTGCTGATCTCTCAGAGGAGAGTGAGGAGGGAAGGGGACGTCGCAGATCACCTCTTCATGGGGCCAAATATTGCGGCAGAGCTGACTCATGGGGCATCGCAGGCCTCACTCTGGCCTCAGGCTCTGCAAGCTGGAAATTCTAGTTGCCTTGGCACACCCCCAGGTCTTTGTAAACTGTACCATGCCCCACACAGAAGCCAAACACGGCACATTCAGGGACAGGCCTGATTGGTCAGAAGAAGGAGGGAGGTTGCTGGCCAAGAGAAAGGCATTTGCTCAACTCACTGGTGTTTATTATCAAATCTAAGGCCTCAAGGCCCTAGAAATAGAGAAGAAGGGAGGAAAAGGAAGACTGGAGAAGAGTCAGGAGACTGGGTTCTAGTTAGTTCTGCCATTACCTCACTTTGTTCCTCTGGGCAAGTCTCCCACTTTCTGGGCTCCAGTTTTCTTGCCTGTGAAATGGGGAGATGAGGAGAGACTGGATGGGCCATGCATAGTTTCTAAGCCCTCCTCCTGCTCCCACCTTTGACATAAGGAGAATGGGCTGAGACAGGGAGCAGGTGACCCTAGGTATCCTCACAGGCCAGGACTTCCAGGACTCCAGGACTAGGCTCCAGGCAGGGAAGTCTCACTGGCCAGATTTTGGGGTCACAGGCATCTAGCAGGAAGTTCCATATTATTATTATTATTAATATTATTATNATAGTTTAACAACTGGTCAAAATATTTGAATTTGAGATTGTCCAACATTTCTTAGTTGCCATAACTATATGACATGCCTCCTTCTTATTCATTCAGCCACCATCTGTGGCTTTTTCAATATGAAGGGAGGATAAGCCATATACATTATCTCATATACTCTTACCACTAAGAAAAAAGCTTACATTGAAAAGGTAAACGAGGTCCAAATATTGATCAAAACTTTTCATTTACATGTGCCATTGTCCCCACATGTGGAAAAATGTTGCCTCCTGTCATGATAAGAATGATAATAATAATATAAAATTATGCTTTTAGGAATTCTCAGTGTATAGAATTTAATCAATATTCTATTTATTGGGACATTCACAAGTCCTTTCAGATTGCTGTATTTTGGTAGATTTTATAATGCATTCTTTAAGAGAGTGCTACTTTATAAAGCTTTTAGCAAGGTCAGCTTACATTATAATATATCTTACATTTCCAAATATAACACTAAACCCTTCTACAATATTTTATGCTTAATTTACTGGACTCCATGTATAGAGAACCTCAAACAAAAGAATTGCCTCTTCTTTGGGTAATGATTCATTGTGAATTATACTATCTCTTAATTAATTGAAATTAGAATGACTACATCAAGATTTAAAAAAAAAAAAGAAAAAGAATTTGTTATCCCAACTTGAGATGATAGGATAGAAAAAAATAACTATAAGAAATGAAAAATTTTCCCAGATTTATTGAGGTATAGTTTACAGATAAAAACTGAAATTCTTTTGAGGAATAAAATGCAATGGGAGGGTACCCTCCCACACCCCTCCCCTTTGGTAACCACTAGTTCATTCTTGGAGTCTGTAAGTCTGCTGCTATTTTGTTCCTTCAGTTTTGCTTCATTGTTATACTCCACAAATGAGGGAAATCATTTGGTATTTGTTTTTCTCTGCTTGGCTTATGAAATAAATCTTGTAGTAGTTTCAAGTATACAGCACAGTGGTTCAACAGTTACCCACGTTATTAAATCCTCATCTCCATTACTATAGTTGCTATTTGTCAACACAGGAAGATGTTACAGAATCATTGGTTATATTTTCCATGTTCTACTGCTATCTGTGTGACCAACTTGCACTATGAGAATTGTGTTTCCCCTTTAAGCCCCTTGCCCTCCCTACCCACCCACCCCAAACCTCACCCCATTGTAACCACCAGTCACTTCTCAGTGTCTACTACTGTTTTGTTCACTCTGTTTTGCTTTGTATTTATATTCCACAAATAAGTGAAATCACATGGTATTTGCCTTTCTCTGCCTGGCTTATTTCACTGAGCATAATACCCTCTAGATTCATTCATGTTGTTGCAAATGGCAGCATTTCTTTTTTTATGGCTTAATAACATTCCATTATGCATATGTACCACGTCTTTATTCATTCATCCATTGATGGACATTTAGGTTGCTTCCATATCTTGGCTATTGTAAATAATGCAGCAATAAACATAGGGGTGTATATATCTTTTCAAATCAGGAATTTAATTTTCTTCAGGTAAATAGCTAGAAGTGTAATCACTGGGTCAAATGGTATTTCTATGTTTAGTTTTTTGAGGAACTTCCATACTGCTTTCCACAGTGGCTGCACCAATTGATATTCCCACCAACAGTGTAGGAGGGGTCCCATTTCTCCACATCCTCACCAACACTCATTTCTTGTCTTTTGGATAGTGACCATTCTGACTGGTGTGAGGTGATATCTCATTGTGGTTTTGATTTGCATTTCCCTGATGATTAGCAATGTGAACCACCTTTTCATGTGCCTGTTGGCTATCTGTATTTCTTCTTTGGAGAAATATCTGTTCAGGTCCTTCACCCATTTTTTAATTGGGTTATTTTTTATTATTTATTTATTTTTTTGGTGTTGGGGTGTTTGAGCTCTTTATATATTTTGGATGTTAATTCCTTATTGGCTAAATCATTTATGAATATGTACTCTCATACAGTAGGTTGCCTTTTTGTTCAGCTGATGGTGTCCTTTACTGAACAGAAGCTTTGTAGTTTGATGTAGTCCAGTTGTTCATTTTTGCTTTTGTTTCCCTTGCCTGAGGACATCGGTCTAGGAAAGAATTGCTCATACTTACATTCAAGAGATTTTTTGCCCATGTTTTCTTCTAAAAGTTTTATGGTTTCATGGCTTACATTCAGGTATTTAATCCATTTCAAGTTTACTTTTGTGTATACAGTTAGGTACACATCTAATCCAGTTTCATTTTCTTGCATGTAGCTGTCTAGTTTTCTCAACACTAGTTACTGGAGAGACTGTCTTTTCCCCATTGTATATTCATGGCTCCTTTATCATATATTAATTGGCCATATATGCATGGGTTTATTTATGGCCTCTCTATTGTTTTCTATTGATCTATGGGTGTGTTCTTGTGCCAGTACCAAATTGTTTTGATTACTGTGGCTTTGTAATAGAGCTTGAAGTTGGGGAGCATAATCCTCCCCCCACTTTATTCTTCCTTCTCAGGATTGCTTTGGCTATTCAGAATCTTTTGTGGTTCCATATGAATTTTAGAACTATTTGCTCTAGTTTGTTGAAGAATGCTGTTGGTATTTTGATAGGGATTGCATTAAATCTGTAAATTGCTTTGGGAAGGATAGCCATTTTGACAATATTAATTCTTTGTATCCAAGAGCACAGGATAGATTTCCACTTATTTGTGTCTTATTTAATTTCTCTCATCAATGTCTTACAGTTTTCAGAATATAGGTCTTCCTTTGCTAGGTTTGTTCCAGGGTATTTTATTCTTTTTGATGCAATTGTAAATGGAATTGTTTTCCTGATTTTTCTTTTTGAGATTTTGTTCTTAGTGTATAGGAATGCAACATGTTTCTGTGTTTTAAGTTTGTATCCTGCAAATTTGATGAATCCAGTTATTCTAATAGTTTTGTTTGATGGAGTCTTTAGGGTTTTCTATGTATAATATCATGTCATCTTCAAATAGTGGCAGTTTAACTTCTTCCTTCCTATTTGAATGCCTTTTATCTCTTTTTGTTGTCTGATTGCTGTGGCTAGGACCGCCAGTACTATGTTGAATAAAAGTGGTGAGAAAGGACATCCTTGTCTCATTCCCAATCTTGTACCCCTCTGGCACCTTTTCCACTGTTGGTAAATGTTAGCTGTGGTTTGTTGTATATGGCCTTTATTATGTTGAGATATGATATGTACCCTTTATTCCCATTTCATTGAGAGTTTTTATCATGAATGGATGTTGAATTTTGTCAAATGCTTTTCGACATCTATTGAGATGATCATGTGGTTTTTATCCTTTTTGTTAATGTGATTTATCATGTTGATTTATTTACAAATATTATACCATTCCTGTGTCTCTGGAAGAAATCCCACTTGGTCATGATGGATGATCCTTTTAATGTATTTTTGAATCCAGTTTGTTAATATTTTGTTGAGGATATTTGCATCTATGTTCATCAGGGATATTGGTCTAAAATTTTATTTTTTTGTACTCTCTTTGTCTGGTTTTGGTATTAGAGTGATGCTGGCCTCATAAAATGAGTTTGGAAGTATTCTCTCCTCTTCTACCTTTTGGAATACTTTAAGAAGGATGAGTATGAGTTCTTCTTTAAATGTTTGGTAGAATTCATCTGTAAAGCCATCTGGTCCTATTGGGAGTTTTTTGATTACCAATTCAATTTTGTTACTGGTAATTGGTCTCCTTAGATTTTCTGTTTTTTTTTTCCTGGGTCATTCTTGGAAGGTTGTATTTTTCTAGTAATTTCTAGAAAATTCTTCTAGGTTGTCCAATTTATTGGCATATCATTTTTTCATAGTATTCTTTAATAATTCTTCATATTTATGTGGTATCTGTTTTGACTATTTCTTTTTCATTTCTGATTTTGTTTATTTGTGTCCTCTTTCTTTCTTGATAGTCTGGCTGGAGGTTTGTATATTTTATTTATCTTCTCAAAGAACCACCTCTTGGTTTCATTGATTTTTTTCCTATTGTTTTATTCTTCTCTATTTTATTTATTTCTGCTCTGATACTTTATTATGTCCCTCTTTCTACTAACTTTGATTTTCATTTCATTTGTTTGTATTTTTCTAGTTTCTTTAGTTGTGAGCTTAGACTGTTTTTTTTTGGGATTTTTCTTGTTTCTTGAGGTAGCCCTGTATTTTTATGTACTTCCCTCTCAGAACCACTGTTGTTGTGTCCCACAAATTTCGGACTATTGTATTTTTGTTTTCATTTGTCTCCATGCATTGCTTGATTTCTGTTTTGAGTTGCTCATTGATCCATTAATTATTAAGAAGCATGTTGTTTTGCCTCCATATTTTTGTGTGATTTTTTTTGTTTTTCATTGTGTTATTTATTTCTAGTTTCATACCATTGTGGTCTGAGGAGTTTCTTTATACAATATCTATCTTA